TTTCTTGCTCTCTGTGGAAGAAAGGGAAGAGTTCAGTGAGAATGACAAGGATGACCTAAAGTGAACAAGTAAAACGACCACTGCGGCGCATAATCGCCCGGGTCAAGCTGCAGAGAACTGTGGCAGGAGCAGTGCACTGCTCACTGCTCGTGCGAAAGCCGAAGAGCTGAAATCCTAAACTCCACCGCTGCAAGGTTCCCTGACTGCCACCCCAAATTCCTACACACCCAACACGATATCTGATTCGTGCCCCGAAGAAACCTTGGAAACAAGCCGAAAAGCAACCTCACACACCTGCAAACCTCGGTCTAGAGCGATGCTCCTCTGTTTCTTCAAACCCTATTCAACTCTAAACCCTCCAGCCCTAAACGCTTAAAACCTCGAGGCCCTGAAACCAACAAGCCCAACTTCGCCCAGGGGTACCTTACACTAGTAGAAAGGAGGCACCTGGAGGGACTTCTTCACTTAGCTCCCTCCTAAACCTAATCCCTATAGTAAGTACCCTTTACAGACCCCTCATAATTATAGAACCCCTGAAACCTATAAACCCAAAGCCCCTAAACCCTTAACACTAAACCCTCACCCCTAAACCCTCAAATTCAGTTCTGCAAAGACGCAAGAAGCCCACCCGGCACCAGAAGAAGGGCTCCTAAACTCCCGGGCACAGGCGATCTCACGTCTGATGGATGATATGGGAGTTTCCGAAAATTAAAGGTACCGTATTTTGGGGTTCTTGTAATAAGCATCCTGCTATTTAGGGCATTATAGTAGGGTCCCCGATTTTCGGAAACCCCCCAATATAGGGGCCTTCATAAGTAGAACAGTGTTATTTGGGATATGTTATACTATAACTGTAATAAGGATCCCGCCCCAAATAGTATAGGCCAAATAGTAATTATAGGTAATCATCCGTTTGGGACAAAAGGTTTAGGTTTAAGATGGTTTAAGCCTTAGGCTCTAGGTTGCACGCTGTGGGCTTAGCCGTTAACTAGGGTTTAGGGGTGTCACGTGATCGTGAAATCATGGGCAGCGCTGTTCTGATGTCCTGCCCTTAACCCTGGAGCCAGTTACCCCAAGCCCCACCCTCAACCCTAAGCTACGCGCACTCGCTTGTGCATGGAGCTCTTGAAACGAGCTGGCTTTTCTAGAAGGGGTCATGGAAATCGGTTCAGTCTTCACGGCGAGGAGAGTGTACAACAGACAAGTTCAGGCTTGGGGTTTGGATTTGGGAGCCAGGTTTCGGGATACAGCGTGTCTTGGGCACCGCAACAAGAAGCTCCCGTGACTGCTGCTGCTTCGGAATGAACCCGAAAACCCCAAATCCGAAACCCCAACCCGATACCGAGAAGCAGGCCCGGCCCTGAGCGTACCACGCCAGGAGACCAAGGACAAATCATCAATCATGCTGCCACACTCTACTTACCTTTGGTTAGTAGGGAATGGAAGAATGGTGGTAATAGTAGTTCTAATTGAGCCCCATTCCTCCATTCCCTACTAACCAAAGGTAAGTCTGAACCGCCACTGGTCATAGCCGCTAGGACCCCACCACCTTAGTCCGACAAGCTGGTCACCCTGCCCTTCGAAGCCCTGGAACCGAACCCTGACCCCTGATTGTCCTAGTAGGATCCGGGGGCTATTCACCGGGAGCCTACATGAACTCATGCCTCAAAGCTGCCCCCGGCACCCCTAAGACCCTACAGGGCATTGAGTTTTTGAGATTTTGGGTTTACCTGGACCCGAAGGAACCTACGCTTTTCAGGACTTGTATAAAGAAATCATATTAGGGAACCTGAAAAAGGTGGGTTCCTTAGGGTCCAGGTAGGGCTTCGGGATGATGATGATGATGATGACGATCACCTCCAGAGTCTGTAATGCATGTCACCTTCGCCTACTGGAGGGGCCTCAATAATGAGAATTGGGTTTGGGGGAGTGTATTTTACCATAATTATCAACCCCCTAAACCCTATTCTCATTATGAAAGCCCCTATACGGTTGATGATATAAATCCTGCATTACCCATAATAAGGAATATACCATAATTCCCATAGTTTGGGGTCCTTAAGGTAATGCAGGATTTATATCATCAACAGTAGTACTTGTGAGGATCTCGGAAACGTCCCCTTCAGCCCAGCGTGACAAAAGCAGGACCAAGGCGCCCTCAGGCCCTCGTGATCGCCAAAGTCCACTTCCACTCCGATGTAGACCTGGGTCGAAGAAGGGCTTCCGGGGCTCATAACCTATTAGGAGTTTAGGGTTTAAGGGTTTAGGGTTTGGGATTTTCAGAAAATTGGGGGGTACTTTTTTTGGGGGCCGTTATTATAAGGACCCTGCGATTTAGGGTACTATATTAGGGCCCGGTATTTTCGGAAACTCCCACCTGGATCAAAGAAGCGCTTCCGGGGCTCATAACCTAAACCCTAAACCCTAAAACCCTAAACCCCGAACAGGGTTTGAGACGGTTTGAGGAACCCTAAACCCTAAAACCTCGAACCCCTAAACCCTGGAACCCCGTACGTAGGGCTTCAGGATCCCTAAACCTCCTGTCGTCTTACCTTTGGTTTTATAAAGGGGTCTATAAGGGATCTATAAGGGTACTATAATATAGGGGCCTTCAGAATCCTATAGCTTACCTTTGGTTAGTAGGGAATGGAGGAATGGGGTACAATTATAGCTACTATTACTACTATTCTTCCATTCCCTACTAACCAAAGGTAAGTCTTTCCGAGGGGCGAGGTTGCAGAAGACCACGAGGTCGCAAAGCAGGGCGAAAACCGTGTCGCTCTCGATGCGGTGAAACCTAAGAGCAGTGTTTTTGGTTTTTGCTCTCTAACCGAAGAGTTCGGGCTCTAGGGTTCTAGGGTTTAGGCTTCAGGGTGTTTGGGTTCCGGGTTCAGAGTTTCAGTTTGTCTGGTTTCGGGTTCAAGGCTTACTGGAAGGGTTTTGGTGTTCAGGGTTTAGCTTCTTTAGGTTCGAGGTTCAGCTTTTTGGTTGGGGGCTGAGGATCTAAGCATAGGTTTAGAGTTTAGGGTTTAGGCTTCTGGGCTTAAGGGTTTAGGGTTAGGGCTTAGGGGTTTAGGGTTTAGGGTTTTAGGCTTCAGGGTAGAGGTGTGAACTGCAGCAAGACCTCCAGACGCTATCTCGGCAGCAGACTTAGTGGGCTGGGGATTTGTGGCACTTCAGGGACTGAGTCGGTTTCAGAGCGGGGATACAGAGCAAGTCCGACTGGGGGCTTAACATATACGGCTTTTGCTCCTTTTTTGAGTACGCTTTTGCCGATTGGTGGTTACGGTTTACCGACACCGCAGCTACCAAAAGCTGCACATTGTAGAAACCTGGTTGCCCAGCTCCCATGAAGAGTTCCCGTATAATGGGAACTACCAGCATCCATACCAAACGCCCGATTTCAGAATCTGAAACTGCACCGCAGATGACTGTAGGTTTTCCAGAAACCCTTAATCCCCAATCCCTAAACCCCCAAACTAAAAAACACCCTAAACCCTGAACCCCGAACCGCTGAAACCCGTAAACCCCTACTAAACCCCTAAACCCCCAACCCCCAAACAAAAAAAACCCTGAACCCTCTAAACCCCTGAACCTTAAACACCCAATCCCACAATCCCTAACCCCCAAAGATGTGGCCAAGAGGCAAGGGAATGCCCGGCATGGCTCCTCTGCGGGAGACGGGGCTCCGCACCTACTCCCGGCCCATCGCTGCCGGGCACAGGGAGCTAGCTTTAAGGGTGTTAAGGCGCTAGGAGTCTAGGGTTTAGGGGTTTAGGGGTTTAGGGTTTAGGGTGAATAATGTTTAGGGGTTTAGGGGTTTGGGGGCTTTGAGTTTGGTGGTTTAGGGAGTCTAGGGTCCAGGTTTTAAGTTTTTTGAAGCTTAGCGTTTAGAGTTTGAAAGGCGAGACATCATAGAACATCCCTAAACCCCTAAAAACTCTAAGCATCATAGAAGGTTCAGAATTTCGGCTATGGAGACTGGGGCAAACCGACTATGATCCGAAGAAGCTTTAGGATTTACCGCAACCCTGAATAACAAATACATGTATAGGGTTCCTTCCTACGATTTCCTTATCATCTAAGTCCTTAAAGGGGTAGGTTGTTCTTGGTTTAAGCTATCGGGTCTTCGAAGGCTTTTCATCATGCCCTCTACTTTAACCTGCATCTTCCACCATCATCTGAGCCAGACAATTCGAGAACGAGCAATTGGTCTGGAGCAAGATAACCGAGTTGTCCTTTAAGCCCTGTAAAAAAAATATGACTATTATGGTTCTCTACAAAGTAGTAGTAGGGGACATTACAAAAGATCCCAAAGGACAACCCGAATAAACAACGCGATCGGTTTAGGGTTCAGGGTAACTCGATGCCCCGATCAAAACCTGAAGCACGCTAGGATGTATCCCAAAAGCCGAGAAAACCCTGAATGCCAAACCCAATTCCTACGGTACACATTTCGCCATTAAGAACTCTACCCTCAGACGCAGAAGGCAAGCTGGTGCTGTCGAGAACGAGTGCCAGCTGTAACTGATACAGGAGTCTCGGACGAAGTAAGCTCCAACTTCCAAAATGTCCAAGAAAGCCACATATGGGTAGCTCTACACATTAGGTCCTTGTTTAGGTCCCCCAAAACAATACGGCGCCAATTTGGACAACTACTCATATGGGTGGTTGTCAAAATTATGTTCCCTTTTTGGGTCCATAATATAATACGGCACCTCATATCTAAGGTACCCAAAAAGGGACCATAATTTTGACAACTACCCATATGATGCCATCTTTCCTCCCAGCCTCCGATCACGAACACATCTTGCTGTCGACAGGTTGAGATTTTGGAGCGCGTCAATTCAGAGACAACTCAGACAATCGGAAGGGTTTAAGGTTTAGGGTATATGTCTCAAGGGACAATTTCCGAGTTCCTCTTCGGGTTTTAGGGCTCAGGGCTTATAGGGCCATAAGGGTTTAGGTTTTGGGGACAGCAGGAAAGCTGGGCCACAGGCGAGAGAGCCGTAATCTGCGCCTGCAGTGCAACAACATGGTGTTGGTGTTAGCTTGGCTTCTTGGGGCAAGGTTCACAGGGTTGAGGGATAATTTCTAAACCGAAACTCAAGGCAGCACAAAGGGCAAGTCAGACAGTAACATTGACACTACAGACAACAGCATGGGTGGCGGGATCAGAGCGATCAGCACTGCAGGCAGCCTTTGAGAGATGACCTTTCGAAGTCTGGGTGGCAATCTCAAGGAATCACCACCAGTAACAAAAACAAAAGCAACAACACCGAAAACCAACAGCAACACCAAAACCAACTCCAACCTCACCACCACCAGCACCACCAGCACCACCAGCACCACCAGCACCACCAGCACCACCACCACCTCCACCACCACCACTGCCACCACCACTGCCACCACCACTGCCACCACCACTGCCACCACCACTGCCACCACCACTGCCACCACCACTGCCACCACCACTGCCACCACCACTGCCACCACTGCCACCACCACCACCACCACCACCACCACCACCACCACCACCACCACCACCACCACCACCACCACCACCACCACCACCACCACTGCCACCACCACTGCCACCACCACTGCCACCACCACTGCCACCACCACTGCCACCGCCACCATCACCACGACAACCACCACCACCACCAACAACAACAACAGCAGCAACACCAACTTTTGCAACACCAACTTTTGCAACACCAAGCACGACCACAGCAACAGCATCAGTAAGACATGTGTAACAGGAGCTAACGATGACAACAAGGGAATGACACAACAAAGGACCAGCGCATGATCGAAACGCAGGATGTGCAGTATGTACTCCAAATCTAACAGTCGTAAAGTCTACGCCAGAATCACAGTATCCATCGGAGAGGCAGTCTGCTGAACTACAGACATCCCTACCTGCAGACTCAGAATCCTGCCATGGACATCTCAATCTCCTGCAGCAGGTGGTGAAGACTTGTCCTGAGATGGTACCTCTGCAGTTCTAGAGCCGGCTAAGCACCCAAAGGGGCGTGTGCAGCTGAGGATCTTCGAGTTTTACACGGGTTCGGAGAGTAAGGGGCGTCGGGCCTGTGCTGCGTAAGGACTTTGAAGGTTTGGAGCTCAAGGAGCGGCCTTGCACATTCCATGATTCCGTGTCGTCAACCATCTCCTTGACACTCTCACACTGATAGAATGCAACACCCGCGTCCAGGATTAACTGACGCTTCCTGTACTGTTCTGCTGCATGTAGCTTTGCTCGCTCCATGTTCGCGCCGGCATTGAAGGCTTGAGATCCACTTCTCGACAGCCTCGTCGAACGATTATGTGCGGAGGAGGACCGATCGAAACACCCGTTGCAGGCACGGGAACCACAATACCCGGTGCAGTTTCTGAGTTCCTTATCCTCTCTCTCTGCACCCAAATAGAGCCTAGAACTGGGTACGGATTCTAGGGTTTAGGGCAGGGCGCATGCCGGCATCGCCAGCAATGTTTGCCAGCCGCCGGTAGTGCGTCACCTGGCAAAGAACGCGGGTTTCCCTGCCAGACAATCCGCAAAACCGTTTCGTTTGAAAGCACATGCAATGAACGACAACAATTCTTTCATCAAAAACGCCTAAACTCACTGTAAGACCTTCTACACACAATACCCTCCTGCTTAGTCACGATCGCAAAGCCGTGGCTTCGACTCTTGTCGCAACGACCAAGCAGTAAAGCAGCCGTGAGCCCAAAAGCAACCTGCAAGGGCAAACCCGATACCACCCTGAGCTCTAAATCGACTCGCACCCATGTCTGAGTGGCAGGAAATTCAAGCACTTTGATAGGAGCGCCATGGACAAGAAGGTGATGAAATTGTCGAGGTGCCTCGAGCTCGTGGCTAACTTCGGGAACAGGGCCACTTTAAGGGCAAAGGGGCTAGGTCAAGTGATTAGAAAAGCCCACACTTTGGTAAGGCATCATTCCTAACCTGTAGATAGATCCCGAGCAGCCCCAAGCAACCAAGCCAAACCTTCAGGGTGTACCCCAAACTACCACAACTGTAGGCTCTCATCCTAAGCACTGATATGAAATTTACAGGGCCCGGCCAAAAAAGTTGGTTTTTTGGCAGCTCAGGGGTTTGGGCTTTACGGCAAACAACTTACACGCTCCATGTAGGATCCCTTTAACGGTTCCTCCTGGGATCTGAAGAGTTCATTATGTAGTTGCTTCGTTTCCTGCGGATGACCAGTCGCTGCATCCTCTTCTTCAACGAAGCAATCGAGCGACTACGTAGAACGGTAATATAATACTTAGAATACGTAGGGCTTTGGGGCCCATTATACTATAGTTATAGTAAGGAACCATCAAAATAGTATAGGGAAATCTTTAGGCCCCTATAGTAGACTCCAAGCCCTGAAAATTAAAACCCTAAAACCCGGATACTGGTTTCCAAAGTCCAATGACCCTAAACCCTATAAGATGGAACCCCCAAAATCTACACCATAGACACCAGATCGAAGTCCGAGGAAGGCGCTTGTAGAGGTCCAGGTAGCACTGCTGCACCTTAAGGAATTCGTAGGCACTTCGTGGTTTGAAGTGTTAGTTGCCGAAAAGAAAAGGGCACAAATAGAATATCGACTCTAACTTGCAGGATCCTCACTGTGGACCTTGAAGAAGGGAACCCCTTATTAGCAGCTAAAGCCCACAGGTACTGGAGCCTGAAAGGCTACGCCTTTCTGGGTTCAGCCGCAGTGTTTAGGAAAGCTTTCGAATGTTGGGCTTCTGATTCCGAGCTTCTGCGCCCTGCGATCAAGATGGATAGCAAGTACGGTCCATGCTAGACTTGTGGTGAGTATGTACGGGAGTAGTTAGAGCTGAATATCGGTGAGTGCACATTATTGTAGGGAGTTCATATCGGGAGATTTATGAAGCCCCCCTTATACGTCATGTGGGGCGCTTAGTGGTGGCCTCAGAACCACCCCTGGCCCCATTCGATGGCTCATAGTAGTAGCAACTGAAAAATGCCAACACCTGCTCAACTGCCCGGCCACAGCACGAAGGCCAGTGAAAGCCGCGAGCTTTCTAAAAGAACCCTCGCAACTACCCTAAAGCTAAACCCGGAGATCCTGAACCGTAAATCTCAGGCCTCCAGACCTCTACACCCATAAGGGATCCCTCAAAGGAGCCCTTAAAGGAACCCTTAAAGGAGCCCTTAAAGGAAACCCTAAAGCACTCCCCAAAGGAGCTCTTAAAGGAACCCCTAAAAGCAGCCCATGGCCTCGCGAAAGCAGGAGGGTCGGAAGAGATCGTGGATGCCACTGGCCTGCCCGCGCCGAAGAGAAAACCCACTTTGCTTCTCTGGGTCGAAGTAGGGGGGCCCCCAATTTAGGGTCTAGGGTTTAGGGTCTATGGGTTCAGGGAAATGGGCGAAAACCCTACTTTGCTTTACTCATACCTTTGGTTAGCAGGGAATGGAGGAATGGGGTACAATTATAACTACTATTACCACCGTTCTTCCATTCCCTACTAACCAAAGGTAAGTACTGGGTCGAAGTAGGGGGGCCCCCAATTTAGGGTCTATAGGGTTTAGGGTCTGGGGGTTTAGGGAGTCTAGGGTAACTCTAGAGGAACCATCAGAACGGAAACTAACAAATTTCACATTGCCCCACCTTGTTTACAAGGTCTTAAAGTTTCCTTCCCAACGTCTTTGTAGCTGCTTGCGATTTGCTAATGGGGGCTTCGTATTCTTAGTGCTGTTCTGCGGGACCTGTAAGGGGAAATTCAGCGGCGACACGAAGTTCCTATGCAAGTTTGCTAAGGATTCCCCGAATTCCGGTTTAGCTTGCTGGAAAATACTAGTTACATGGGTAGGGAAGTTCTCGAAATTTGGCGGAACAGGGAACAACGAAGGGATCCTTCCAAGGCCCTGTGATTACACTAAAGTTCTTGCCAATCGAAGCCTTATACATCAGCACCTGTAGTTTCTACACCTTTAGGTATACTGCTATACTCTACCTCACTTAAGCTTTGGAGGATCCTTTCAGATCCGACAGCAGCCCAGCGCTCAGGGTTTATGATTCAGGGTTTAGGATGTCTGGTTTTGGGTTTCGGTTCAGGATTTCATGGTCAATGGTGTAGGGTTTAGGTTCGGGCTCGGCAACCACACGCAAAATGCAAGCCCACCTCGGGCAGCGCAGAAGACTGGTCCACCAAAGCCTCATCCCAAGCGTGCCGAAACCTGCAGCCAGACTGTCCCCGCAAAGTTTGCAGGACTTTCGGAACCTGGAGGTTAGGGTCCTAAGTAAAACCCAAAGAGTTTTGGACTTGGTATGTTGGATGCTGTCTAAGTTGAAGTCTTTCAGGGTCTTGTGCTCTTGAGTGAACCCTGAAGCACCATTACATAAGGCCTAATACAGGGGCCTTAACTTAATAATTAGGATAGGGTTTGAAGGGTATATTAGAGTATGAACCCCCAAAACCCTATTCTACTCATTTAGACCCCCACATTAAACTCTATAAACCCTAGACCCAAACCTAGGGCTCTGACTCTTGCTGATCGCAGGTTCAGCTGGCAGGTTCGGAAGTGTGGGTCTACCTCCTGGGTCCTTGTTAAGGAATTTACTTAAGTTACCATAATAAGGGTGATCTAAGGTAAACATAATTGGGTTTCCTTACTATGGTAACTTATTAAGTCCCTTAACAGGAATCCTTATAGAACCCTTTACAGGAACCCTACATTATGGTAACTTGATTTAAACCCCTTAACAAGAGCCTAGTAATTACCTCTGAAACATGTTCGCCGTAGAGCCCACCGAGACGCCCGGCAGGGCGATTCAGGGTCCTCATGAGGTGTTTCTAGGTTCCCCAGTAGGCACAGTCGCAGCGTTTTGAGCACTCGCCATTGCGAGGATCTCGTGGCATCTTGCGTTCTGATCCCAAACCTCAACCCGTAACCCTACTCCGGGACACCTGAACTCTACACCCCTAAACCTGAACCTAGAAATACCAAAAGCCTTGAATCCGAAGCCTCTGAAAGAGGTGGAATTCATAGACTCTTCTCCCTCCGATTGATGATCTAAATCCTGCATGACCCATCATGAGGAATATACCATAAATTCCCATAGTTTAGGGTCCTTAAGGTAATGCAGGATTTATATCATCAACCATAGTGCCTTAGCCTGGCTATAAGCCCTGGCCTGAGAGTTTAAGGCTTCGGCTTAGGGCTGAAGCTTGAAGCTTCAGGCCTGAGGCTTTAGGGTTTAGGTTTTAAGGATGTAGGGTTTTAGGTTTTAGGGCTTTCGGGTTTAAATTAGGTTCTAAGGATGTGGGATTTAGGTTTTGAGGATTTACATGGGGTCTAGGAACCCTTGGCTGCCCCTGAGCCCCAAAGCGTTTTCTCAAGCTCTGCCCTCCGAGACCCCAGCTGTAGCCACATGTCGGTGAGCTGGAACGCCGGCCGACCTGTCCAAAGTTCAGGGTTTCGGGTTGTTCACTGTTTAGGGTTGTTTAGGGTTTAGGGTTGATGGTAAACCTTACAAGATCCCATAACGTCCGCTTCAAGAGCAAAGTATTGCATGCACAAAACAGAAACTCCAAAGACACCTTACAGGTTATAGGGTTTACTTCCAGGGTGTCATGATACGGAAGGAGAGCAGGACTTTGTGAGAAAGGTTTTACAGGTTGTTATCAGCCCTTGGCCCAACTCTAAAACCCAAAGTCTCTTAAACCCTAAACCCTGAACCCAAGGCCCCTCTACACCCACAACCCTAAACTCTGGAACCAAAGCCCCTCCAAACCCTAAACCCTAAACCCAAGGCATCAAACCCCGTCTGAACAATAAGTAAACCCAAAACCCTAGACCCTAAGCCCTAGACCCGAACCCCCTCTAATGCTCCCTAAGCCCTAAACCCTAAACCCATCTCTAAACCGGAGCCTGGGCTCTCTTTGGGGCCACCCCGCAGGTGCCAGAAGTCCCGGAAATGGGGGGACTGTAGCAGCCTCGTGGCCAAAGAAAGGTAGGTTTAGGGGTTTAGGGGTTCAGGCGTTTCAGGGTTTATGGGAGTTAGGATTAAGGGGACCCTTGAAGATAAAGACCCTCTCAATAAGGTCCCGTTTAAGAGAGCCAGAGGTAGGGTTCACAAGGGGTACCCTTTCAAGGGGTCTCTCAAATAATACTACATAATACTACCTAGTTTAGGGTTGAGCCTGGAAACTAGTTAGCTGTAAGGAAGTGTAAAGGTAAAGCTCGGGGTAGTGTTTACGTTGGGTCTCTTTTGGCCTCTGGTCATTGCACTCTGTCAGTTTCAAGCTTTTCCAGTGGATATTTTGGAAAACCAGCCTCGTGGGATAAGCATCATGTAGGAAACCCAACGACTAAAATTTTGATACTCCTGCTTATTGCGACCCCTATGTTGGGGGGTTTAAGCTGTAGAGCGTAGGGTTAACGCGCTCAGGATCAAGCGCTTCAAGCATGCGGCCGCAGTCCTTCCGCCACAGCCTCACAGTTGCTTCGGGCTTTGGGGTTGAGGGTTGGTAGGACTCGCGACAACAATAGTGAGGCTAACTCCGCTAGGCACACAGTGCAACCAGGCTTAAACAGTAACATAAGTTGCTATGAGAAGGGTTCGGGCTATGAGACTAAGTGAGAGCCCGTTCACAGAGCTGCTGTCGTTCCGCGATGGTCGATGCGAAGCACCCTACAGCTTTAAACTTTGAAGGCAGCATTACGGTTTAACTTGTGCTCTGTGTCGAATCAGCACTGGCATCAGGCAGTATGACGATGGGTGATTATTACGAGTCGTTGATCTAAAAACTGCACGTTCCTTCAGAAGGCTTCTGATGATCCCCTCCGTTTGAAGTCGTTACGACTAGAGTGCCATAGTCTCTTGAGGATCCAACAACGATGCTGAAGTAGAAGGCCACCTCTACCCAACTCGAAGAATAGCTTTTCAACCTAAACCGCAACAACCCTGAAGCCAAACGCGTTGAATTCTGAACCTTGTGCCCTAAACTCGCCCGAACTCCACAACCTCAAGCCCGGACCCAGGGCCTCTGAGGGCCTCGAACAAGTCTAACAAGGCTACAAGGGCCCTTATCACTAGACAAAACTCTTTGCATGATAATATGGGGGGTTTCCGAAAATTAGGGGTACGTTATTTGGGGGTCCTTATTAATAAGGATCCTACTATTTAGGGTACTACATTAGGGTCCCCTATTTTCGGAAACTCCCTTTGGTTGTTTCGAGTACTCAGCGGTAATATAGTGTGATCAGATCATGTTAAGGGATATCACTACTCAGACTCATTCGTGATTATGCTTCTCGTAGAAGTCTCGGGATCAGACACTTACCCCCAGGGGTTGAGGCTGTAGGGTTAGGGCTCAGGGTATTGAGCGCGCTTGCCTTGGGGCTTCTAAAGGAACCCCAAAAAGAGCACTGGTAATTATGCAAGCCCCTATAGTAACGGGTTTGCCCTTGTGGCTTGTAGCATTCACATTTTGGGTTGCAGGGTTTAGGGGTGACACTTCCAAGCGAACCGGAGCAGCCCCACCCAAAAACAACAGTGCTCCAGTTAACTACTGCCTGCTAAGAGCACCCTGTGAAGCATTGGTCACCCCAGAAACATCACACATTTAGTAAACTCGGTCCAAAGCGTAGACCACAAACGGTAAACTCAAAACTACAGATATGTTCAGAAACACAGTAAGACCTCACAGAAGACTCTAGTACCCTGATAAGCCCCTACAACAGCCCTCTCGGTTCGGTTCGATCCGAGTGCGGACTCTGCCGTTGCTGGCGTTTCCTGTGCGCAACAGGGCTTGGCTTTCAGGCTTTGCCAGGCCTTTTCCTGAGGGTTATGGGGTTGCATGCGGTTCGGACTTGTATACCATGAAGCCGAGCTTTGTTATACTAAGTTCTGTCTCGATAAATCTTGGCGATAAAAACACGTAGATGCCCCAGAGGGGAATTGATCGCAAAGTGTCTAATTTTGGTTCCGGTCGGGCCATCCTAGATTCTGAATCCGACATCACCCTGAATCCCACAGCCGGAACCCTCGTGCGCGCATGCATCGCAAAACGAACCGAAACCTCGAAAGCCTCAACCCTACACGCCCCATTGCGCACATTAACCCTGTAAGCAACCATGCCCGACAAACCCTTGTCAGCCCTGCAAACCCTAAACCCAACCTTCTTCCTGAATGGCTTTCCATCGTCCGAAATGTGGTGCAACGAGAGCTCTTCGCGCTTTGGAGTCTTTCGCGTTCAGAGTTTGCGAGGCCCCTAAGCCCTATAAACTCCAACACCTCAACCTGAACCACAAAACCCGCAAACCTAAACCGCAATCCCTTGGCTCCCGAAACCCTGCATAGCCAACAAGCGAGAAAAGCCTATGACCTAAATCTTGCTGGGTTTCGGGTTAAGGGTTTAGGACCACAAGATAGAGGTACTTAGGGTTCAGGGCCTGGGAGTTAAAACAAACAAAGCCCTGAACCCTACAAAGCCCGATACCCTATAATACAACCCCCTAAACCCTAACTATGCCATTTCGATTATTATTATACTCATAACCTGTAAACCCCTACACCCTAACTAAGCCACAGAAGCTCCGCAAAGCCGGAGCCTTAAAAGCTTGCAGGGAGTTCAGCAGTGCTTCGATGCCTTGTGCGCCGACAGAATACTTTAGGGGTTTACAATAACTAGAACGGGATTTTGGGGCGCCTTCATAATTAGGAACACCCAGAATAGTATTGGTAATTATTTAGGCCGCTATATTGGCCAAAAGTCGAAGATTTGGCGGTTTACAGGGTCTACAAGGTTTAGGGCTTAGCTTTAATTTAGGGTTTGAAAGGCTTGCGGCCTATAGGGTTTAAGTCTTAAGTTTTGTCAGGCTAAAAGGGAACTCAGGCTTGATTAAGGTTTAGGGTTGATATAGGACGAAATGAATGCGCTCGTCTCGGTCATGTCGAGTCAATCGAGACAGTAATTTGCAATCAGTTTGAACATCTGGCAAGGACATGAAATCACTTGGAAGGTTCATAACTGCGTTTTTCTCTTGCCGACCAACTGCTTCGGACCGCTTCAAGCTGACGCGCAACCATGTGCAAGAGAACAGTTTCCACAGAAATGCTGGCCGCGTCTGGCGGAGAAGCTCGCAGTGACCCGCCTCGAATGTCCTTCCATTCCTCGTTCTCGGACACGGAGGACTTCTTCGGTGGATCGCCGCGCTCTTTTTGTTGCGAAACCAAAGCTAGATGAAGCTGAAGAGCGTGTTCCAGTGTTCGCCATTCTTCATCGGTGCTATCGTACTCCTCGGGGTTCGGCAAGTGCTGCAAAGCATTTCTGCATCCGACCTTCAGATGTTTGGCCTCTGCGTGCAGCAACGCGACGAGCAGGTAATGCTGCTTCTGATCGAAGAAAACAATGATTGCCCTGGCCCGATACATGATGCGTTCCCACAGTCTCTTCGATATTGACTTTCGATAACGAGGATGTGGTAGAAATGCCACAGCCACAGGCGACGTTTGCAAGAAGTCCAATGTTCCCGCATGACTTTGAACACCACTGCAACGTTCTTGTCCGTTTCATTCTGAACAAAATCTTGTTTGCTGTTGAAAAAAGGCATAGCAGCTGGATAAGGCTCGTCAGCTCTCCAGCTGCCTCCAACGTAGTCCAGCAGTTGATATGGGCTGCACAGACCCACGTGCTGCACAGTGGGCACACGCACCAGCGAGGCACGAGCAGCCCGGATTCCCTGTTGCAGATGACGCATTTGATTGTAGCTGTCATCTCCACCGGTGAACGGATCGGATGCTCGGACGAAACAGAACCATGTTGAGGAGGTTTGGAATGAGCAACAGGCCACACGAACAGCTTGGATAAACCACTCCGGAGCAGGCGGCGCTCCTTCCCGGGCCCGTGCTGTTGCGATGTGCTGGCCGTCCAGCATAACCACAAAAAGCCTAGCATGCCAGCGGACACTGAATCGATGAACGCGATTGGGTTGCATACGGATTGGTCTGCGACTTGCATGCGGCTGCGGAGGCAGGTCAGCTAGGCCAAGAGAAGCCATATAGCATTCTCCAGGAAGATGTTGTCGATCCTGCAGTATGCTTGCCTGCGTCTGCTTAAACCGCACCAGTCGCGCACACCCACATAGATGCCCACGACATTGTCAGGTAGGATCACCTCGAACACGGCAGCGCAGACAAGAGGTAAGCCCTACTCCAAATAGACCCTGAAGAGCCTACGTACATCTACGTATCTTCTGCTACTTACCTATCTAATTGATCTGTCTATGCTTGTGGTCTCGATGTTGTTGCATATGTCAGCTCCTCAGAACCTGTGGGTTGGTGTGTTGCTTTCGACTTATCGAGCATACATGAAAACATTTATCCCAATACGAAGGGTGGAGAATGCAAGCCATGAGGAGCCGTTACCTAACTGTCACGAAGGCATCAAAGCCCCTAAAACCTCAAACTCTCGACCGTAACCGGCGTCCACACAACAGCTGCCGAAGACCTGCTTACAAGATCCAACATGTCCCCCGAATGCTTGTCATGTGCCTTCTTTCGACCACAAACCATCAAAAACCCGACACGTTTTCCAATTTATGGGGCTCAAACTATCTTCTAAATTGCTACAGTAAACCCTATGTGGGATATGAGTGGATATCAACCACAAACTCTCTCAGAGTTCATCTGGTCCAAAGACAGGACGATGCAACCCATATAGATCCCTCAGGAACTACAAAACCCATTTAGAGCCTAAACACCTGGATCTCAGTAACGGTAACTCCCTAAACCCAGAACCCTAAACCCTGCCTAAACCCTCAATGCTGAGCCCGGAATCCTAAACCCCAAACCTATACTGAACTTGGAACCCTAGCAAAAAATATATTTTATGATTTTAGCTGTTGCTTAGGTATTATAATGACAAAAAACAAAAACTATTTCTAGGTACCCTTAAGAAACCCAAAGAGGCCGGTCGGCTCGGCCGCCGACTCAACAAAGGCCTCGGCTTCGATCCGATGCGCTCTGAGATCTCTAGGAGGGCGAAAGGGGCTTCTATTTTCGGGCGAGGGCTAAATCCTAAAAACCCAAACCCCAAACCCTAAATCCTTAGGAACCCTAAACCCTACAATTCCTACCACCCTAAACCCTTAACCTTAAGCCCTATGAACCCGCAGAGTCTTTCTGGCTCAGGGTGGAGGGTAGGTCTCAAGATCGGGATCCAGGGTATTGCGGATGTATTCAGGCTTCGGGCGGGCTCCCATCTCGAAGCCCGAGTGATATCAGCTTTTAGGCTTCAGTTTAGGGTTTAGGGTTTAGGGTTGGTGTCAGGGGCCAGGGATAAGGGCTATGCAACAGTAGCAAAGGGGCCTGAACTGTTGCCTATACTTTATTGGTGCTTGAGACTCCTTCTTATACTTGTGCCAGAATATGTCAACGATGCCTCCCGGTATCTGACTCGCGTTTGGTGGCGGGGACTTTGCGACATGTGGGGAAACACGATGAAACACAGGCATATGGAAGAAGATGTGGGGGGATGTGAGCCCAATGACCGAATCCCCGTGGGGGGTCGTGCACAGCAGCACAACTTCGCCCGGGCTGTGGACAAACACACATTCTGCAGAGCAGTTTCTGCAAAACGTTGTCATGCAAACACTTCAACCTGGCGTGCACGAAGGCCGGAGTACCGTAAGAACCGGCTTGCTGGCGTCTCCATTGAAACAACCGGACATACTTCCAGATGCAGCCAGTGTTCACTTCGCTCCTTCTTCTTTCTGCTGTTCACAGTTTTGGGATACTGGCCTTCAGTATCCCAGCGCATGCAGATGCACACTACACTTAAAGCCCTAAATTCTGAACTTTACACTCTGAATCCTGAACTCTGATCGATCTGCTTGGTTCCGGCAAGGCTCTTGGCTCTCTTCCGCGGCTTTCGCGCTACGCGCCGTGTAGGAATAGATTTGTAGGGCGATTCCTGACACTTTCCTTCCGGAAACCTGCTGGAAGTAAAGATTAGGATTGATGCTCTAGGCTTTATATACTCGGCTCGGACCTGATGAACGTATTTCGGGATTCAAGGACCTTGTAACGGTATACTCTACCAAAAATACACTGTGGTGTTGCAGGGCCACGGTAAAGATGAAAGACACACCCCGTACTCCTGGAACCTGCAGTGAGGTCAGTGAGGTAGCGGTAATCTGGCGAGAACATTTGCAGTCTGTGAGCATTATTTCCCCCCTCGCACCCCCCAACCCCTCTCCCGCAACACAAAGTGGAAAAAGGATACTAGTTCTTAATAGTAAGTCTCACTTGTCGAGTATCCTAGCCGAGCCAGACGATAACGATTGAGAAGATGCGGGGATTACAGTATATGTAACCCAAAATAGAGCAGCAGAAGGTTGCTATGTGGCCACGAGGCAACGAGTTGGAGGACACCGCATTGCAGATGGACACCACCAGGATCGGCAACCTGGTCTTGGCTTTGAAAAGCGTCCATGCTCATGCAAGGTCCAGTCATCGGGGATATATCCCTTTCGACAGACGCATGGGTGCGTTGTGCTAACTCTATAAGCCCCTGAACCCTGAAGCCAACATCCGAAGAAGCAACTTCCAAAGCCCAAACCCCAAAGACCCTCAGGCCCGCAAACCTAAATTTACCCTCAACCGCAGGCTTTCTGGTGTTGAAACTCTTGCCTAAAGCCCAAACCCAAAGCCCTACAGAAGGATGGGCTGCGGTAGCTTCGCTAGGATCGATATCTTAGCTACCAGCAAACCAGGGCAGGGAGGTCTGCAGTGTATTGAGGGATTGTAGGATCTCTTTTATAGGTTCCACTAGGATTTATAAGGTTTAGGATTTATGGGGCGGCTTAGGGCTTATAAGCTTTATAGGGTTCAGCGCTCAAGGTTTAGGGTTTAGGATGTGTCAGGTTACGGGGTTGCAGATTTCGGGTTTAGGGTTTACTGTTTAGTAGTAGCCTGAATCTAAACCCCAAAACCACTAAACCCTGAACCCCTAAACCCTAGATCCTGAAACCCTAAACCCTGAACCGTGCTTAAGACACGAACCCAGCCCCCCTTACGGAGGCCCACGCAGGGTCTCTAAGAGCTCTCTGCCGATCTGCAGAACACGGCCCAACCTCGCGTGCCATTCCGCTTCTTAGGGTTAAGAATTTTAGGTCAGCTTTCAAGGTTTACGGTTCAGGTTTCAGGGTTTAGGGTTCAGGGTTCAAGGTTTAGGTCTCAGGGTTTAGGGTTCAGGGTTTAGGGCCTATAGGGCTTTTTGAAGTTGCCACCCTGAGTTGTGACCATCAGAATCAGGTTGCTCATGCCTAGTGGCAGCTCAGCAGGGCGGTACTGCCAATGCTTGGCTTGTCATCGTCATGGTCATCAGCGTCATCTTCATTCATCAGTCGTTTCAGGACCATGACGATCACAAGTTACCACCATCATCCTCCTGGCCATGTCGTTTGGTGGCAGTACACGCAATGTCGCGAACTGTGTCTTGCCGTTTCTGCTCCGGGCACTGAAGGTCTCATGTGCAAACTTAGCATGTTACAGGCATTGCGATCGCCAGTAAACAGGATCTTCCCTGAGTTCTGCAATGATATATCTCCGAGAAGCTTCTCAACCTTTTAACGGCATGATACTATCAGTGTCGTCATGCAGCGGCATCAGTCTGCCACTTTTTCCAAACGAACATATCCCATGTCGAAAACCGACATGTATGGGGCCTGACATGCATGGATGGGGGTTTGATGAGGTAGGTCCTGAATTGCAGGTTGAGGCGCTACCGAACCTGGATAATGCAGTCCTTCTCGGAATATGCGATGGAAAATGGCCAGTCACCGTGCTGAAACGCGGTATGTTATGCTGCAAGTAGTATCCGTAAACTGCCGGATGAAAGAGCATCCTCAATCAGGCGACCCTTTCGAACCCTGTTCGATTGCGACCAGCATCTCGATGACCGATTGAAACGTCTTCCATGCATTACGCAGTCAAGCTGCGACCGTTCCTTCACGACACTTCTTGTGCTTTCATCCTTTCATTCCTGATACACGAACATCCATGTTTCATTGCATGGACAGGAATAGGAACAACACCGAGCAATGCTACTAAGTTGCTGACATCTACTGACAATAGCAGAAACCATCGTATGATCACCATCATCCTCATAACGACACTACGCATTACGGCATCTTAATAATCACGACCCCCCCAAGGACTAGACCCAAAGCTCCCCCGAAAAGCGCACAGCTCTTGGGCTTCCGCTGGGAGGCGCAGTCTCGCGACTTTGCAGAGAGCCGCCCTGGATTATTTCGGAGCCGTCTTTGCTTTTAGGGCTTAGGGTAAACCGCAAAGGAACTGCTTCTATTTAGAGGGAACCCCTAAACAGTAAAGGAACTCCTTCGTGCTTAATAAGGAAACCTAAACAGCAAAAGGAATTCTTCAACAAACACTTAACGGTTTAAAGCCCCGAAGCTAAAACTGAAAAAAGTCAAGGCTTGTGCCGGCTCGTGGCGGGATTTCCGGCGCTCAAGGGGAAGGCTAAGGTGACAATCCCTGGGTCGGATGTCACTTCAAGTGATACTGACAGAGATAAACAGCTAACAGGCTTTGCGCCTTTTGGATTTCGCAGAATCCGCAGTCAGATTTCGATACTGTCGTGGTAAGCCGTGTGGAAAACAACGAGTTCGAAAATGTGGGGGGGGGGGGGGGGGGGTCTTGATACTTAGAACACTGTTTTGGGGTGTGTTGTAGGGTGAAACATAAAGGAACCCTAAAAAAAGCTAGTTTTCTTTCACTTTCCGAGGCTCAGGGTTGGGTCTGTTTTGGGGCTCTTGGGATGTAGTGATCCGGCTGGCAGGGCTGAGCTTTACTAGTTTAGGGTGGGGTTGAGGGTGTAGGGAAGATACAGTCATTCATATATATATATATATGTATATGTATATGTATATGTATATGTATATATGTATATGTGTATATGTATATGTGTATATGTGTATATGTATATGTGTGTGTATATGTACATGTATATGTATATGTATATGTGTATATGTATATGTGTATATGTATATGTAAATGTATATGTATATGTATATGTATATGTATATGTATATGTGTGTGTATATGTACATGTATATGTATATATGTATATGTGTATATGTATATGTATATGTATATGTATATGTGTATATGTATATGTATATGTATATGTATATGTATATGTATATGTATATGTATATGTATATATTGGGGCCTTTATCATTAGAATAGGGTTTTGGGAGCTCCTTGTTATAGTAGGTTAATATGCCCCCAAACCCTTGGGGTGTATGGTGGTCTTGGCTTGGAGGTCAGGAGATACCATCGAAGCCGAACTGATTGGACGGGGTCGAAGCAGGTCAAGGTCTTCATGGTTTAGGGCTTCGGTATTACAGTTCCACGGTTTGGGGGTTCGGGCCTTCGGGCTGCAGTAAGACTCGGATCTAATCCGCTGTTCGCTTGTAGTTCTAGCGCAGGATTCGGGTTTGCAGCTGAGGGCTTGAGATCATTCCGGCGAGTGATCTGTCGGTAGATGCCCATGCCGATGCATGTCGCGTGCTATGCGGCATTATCGTGACCGGCTAGCAGCTCATGATCCCTAAACCCTGAACGTAATATGGGAACGCTAACAACTAAGATTAGAACAGGTTTCCTTGGGGGGCTGGGGTCCGCAGTACTATTCTACAAGAGTATACGATATTAATTACTACAGTATACATCAAAACCCGAGTCGAGCGTGGCGTTCGCCCGGCCGGCCCGGTGAACAGTATATCAGCGACCGTAGCCGCAGTGTGCGTTTTAGCTTGTCCGGCACAGCACAGTGCTATCCTCACCATGGCCATAACTGCATGTTTAGGATCTCCTGATGGCACGACCGAGCCATTGCCAACACTGGCAGCAACACAGAGACGTGGAGGTTTGAGTCTGTTGCAAGCGTTGCAGTTTGGCCTGCACATCATTGCTTTCACCACCAGCAGTACGACTGCCCCAGGTCACGACTGATCCATCGCCAACAATGGCTGCAAATGCCTTGCTGGAGGCTTGAATCTGTTGCACGTCCTTCAAACGACCCTGCACAGATGTGCTGTAACCACCGTACAGATGACTGCCCCAGGTCACGACGGACCCATCACCAAGGATGGCTGCGAAGGCAAAGTGAGAGGCTTGAATCTGTTGCACGTCCTTCAGCTGGTGCTGCACAGCAGTGCTGTCACCGCCACAGAAAGGATCGCCCCAGGTCACGACTGATCCGTCGCCAACAATGGCAGCAAAGGCCTTGCTGGAGGCTTGAATCTGTTGCACGGCTTTCAGCTGGTCCTTGACGGCGGCGCAGTTACCACCGTATGCGCGACTCCCCCAGGTCACGACAGAACCATCGCCAAGAATGGCAGCAAACGCACAGTCAGAGGCTTGGATCTGCTGCACATTCCTCAGCTGGTCCTGCACAGCAGTGCTGTCGCCTCCACCTCGGGAATCACCCCAAGTCACGACATGCCCGTCGCCAACAAGAGCAGCAAATGCCTTGCTGGAAGCTTGAATGTGGTGCACGTTCTTAAGCTGGTCCTGTACCTCCGTGCTGTCACTACCATAGCCGACGTACCAATTATGGCCAGGATCGCCCCAGGTCACGACTGATCCGTCGCCAAGAATGGCAGCAAAGGCCTTGCTGGAGGCTTGAATCTGGTGCACATTCTTCAGCTGTTCCCACATCTCGGTGCTTTCGCTGCTGTAAGTGCAGACGGGATCGCCCCAGGTCACCACGGATCCATCGCCAACAATGGCAGCAAAGGCCTTGCTGCAAGCTTGAACCTGTTGCACGTCTTTCAGCTGCTCCTGCACAGCAATGCTGCAACCCCCATGCCTATGACTCCCCCAGGTCACGACTGATCCATGGCCAGTTATCGCAGCAAAAGCGCAGTCAGAAGCTTGGATCTGTTGCACATTCCTCAGCTGGTCCTGCACAGCAGTGCTGTCACCTCCACAGATAGGATCGCCCCAGGTCACGACGGATCCATCTCCAAGAACGGCAGCAAAGGCCTTGCTTGAGGCTTGAATCTGTTGGACATTCCTTAGCTGATCCTGCGCATCAGTGCTGTCACCGCCAGCAGTCGGACTCCCCCAGGTCACGACGGATCCATCGCCAACAATGGCAGCAAATGCCTTGGAGCTGCGTGCAACTTGAGTTCTGCTGATGTGCAAAGTCAACGCGTCACCATGCTGCAGCTTGGCTTTCTCGATTGAGGCACGTCCGTCCAGAACATGTCCGAATGAATCCAACAGCCGCCCCTTGCCGACTCCCAGTGCGTTCTGTGCTCTTTCCCTCAGTGTCTCCACCTCTTCATCCAAGCCAGCGTCCAAAGCAACTGTCCTGCCACTGATTAGCCCAACCTCCACCACAGGCATCGCACAAGCTGGAAATGTGAACTTGTCGGAGGCCTCAAAAGGTGGGATGAGGGTAGGTAGGATTAAGGATCCCTTACATAAGGCCTCTTTTTTGGGATTCCCCCACCTATCTTCATCCCACCTTTTAAGGCCTCTGAACTTCGGAAGACAAGGGAGCCCAAGATAGGTCCGAGGCGGAAGGGGCCTCAACCGAAACCTCCTCGACTGGACACCAGATTTCGGAAGCCCTAGACCATAAAGCCCACACCTTTTGAAGCCCCAAACAAAAAAATCTTGATACAGCCCTATGCCCTAGAGGTAACAGTTTAGGGTTCGGGTTTTGGGGCTTAGGTTCGTTCGGTGGGTTTGGTGTGCAGCACTAACCGAGGAGCCGAATAGCAGACTGGCAAATGCCAATGGGTTCAAGGGATCGAAGTTTCCATGCTTTGGGTTGAATAGTGCGGGTTGAGGACGGGGACTTAAGGCTTAAAGGGAACTCCAGAAAGTTGGAGTATGGTTTCAGGGTAGGATACCCTATAATTTACCATAAAGGCTTTAGGATAATCATGTTCCAACTTTCTGGCTTTTACTTTAGAGGGTTTAGGGTTTGGGGTTTACAAAGTTTATGGCTTCGAGTGATTAGTTGCCTGATAGTTGCTTAAGCCTTTCTTTGCGGAGAGGGGCCGTGGGGCTAGTAGAGTCTTCGGCTTGAGGACCTCGCGTTCTATGTAGCACCGCTCAGCACAGCCCAGACAGAACACACCCTACTCGTCTGCTTCCTACAAAGCTAATTCCAAATCTTCGCCGTCCAAAAGAAGCCAGAACAATGTAATGTGGGATGTGGGAGGGTACGTTCTACCGTAACTATATATATATACTAGGGACCATCAGACCCCTGTATAACACACTCACCCCGTGCTGCTCTGTATCCCAGTCCCCTTACTTGAAGAAACAACCCTCACCCCAAGAGCATCGGAGACCCTGAACCCCCACACCCCTAAACCCCTCACCCCTCGACCCCTAAACCCTCAGCCACCTGAAAGTTCTTCCAGCCGATCACAAAGGACGGCCTTGGCAAGCACAGAAGACGACCGGGGCGTGCCGTGAAACCCAAACCCTAAACCCCCAAAGACGCTTTGGGGTTTAGGGTTTAGGGCTGCAGAGTGATGCAGCGCGGACGGGCCTTCATGATGTACGGTTGGCTTTGGAAGCCAGCGCTGCTACTGTGCCCAAACAAGCGAATAGCCCGTGCAAAGACCCTCAGAAGTAGAAAGTAGGGACGTCCCTGTAAAGGGCTGTTGCTTCTGTTTTGTTGTGGGTCCCTAGCTGTAGGGTTGGGGTGAGCACGGGGGCTCCTTGTCAGGGCTACTGGGGCTTCAGTGCAAGGTGAGATTTTTCGCTGCAGGCCCGAGTTTGGTGAGAACATATCTAACATAGAAGCTTGAATGATTAGCAATACTAGGGATACTTGCAGTTATGGTATAGCATACCATAGTCTACTAGTGTACCCAAAAATTCCTCGACACCCTGTTCCCATGATTAAGGCCCCTATAGTGGACTCCACTGCGGGCCCAATGTACTCCCACGTATGCTCAGGTTACAACGTCGGATGTACGGCTCCATTCCAAAGATATAGAATATAGGGCTTTGGGGTTCATTATTCTGCTACTATAGCAAAAAAAGGAACCCTTAGGAATAATCCGGGTACTTATTTTGGCTTCTACATTAGCTTCGGAAACTGGGTTTGCAGGGCGGCCAGGAGCTAATTAGCTGGAGTCTCCTCAAGACCCATAATTCAAACCTTAAATCCGCAACCTTAAACTCTAAGACAATGCATGGACAGAACCTGGGCTCTTCGCCAGGAGGGCGAAGAAATCTGGATCTTCACCAAACTCCTCCGACAGCTCTAATATAGAGGCCTTACTAATTGTTTTGTTTTTTTGGGACCCATGACACTACAATTATACTAAGGAGCCTCCACAATAGTGCTGGTAATAATTTAAAAGCCCCTATGTTACCGTGTTTTGGGCCCTGGCTGTCAACAGGGAGTTGTGAGGGCCGCGCTCAGGATGAAGGTAGATGGGAGCTGCGAGTAGGATCCTTTCTACAGGTTTCGGACTACGGATTCTCCGACCTACCTTCTCGCCACCTTTTCAGCACTTTGGGTTCCGAGTTGGTAGTTATTGCACGCTGGGGCCTACACCGCGGACAATGTACGACCAACCTCCCTCACTTAGTCGCCTTAATCACAAACGCTTTACACCACCCCCGAAGAGGACAGCTTAAAGCATGTAGTATACGGTCTAGGGGAGCCTATTGTAATCCCTGCACTGGAGAGAGTTCATTGAGGACTCGGGTCGTAAGGATTGAGGCTTCCACCTTTTGGGCTTCTACTGTAGCTGCGGAGAAGCTGAATCACGGCATTGGGGCCGTGAACTGGGGCGGTAGAGTTTCTGGTTTGGGGCTCATGGGGCCCATGAGGTTCACGACACAACGAATTTAAATAGGGGCCTTAATACTTAGAATAGGGTTTGGGAGTATACTAAACCATAATTACAAAAGGAACCCCCCCAAAATAGCATTGGTAATTATTTTGGTCCCCTGTATTTGCAAGGAGGCATTAAACCCTATACCTTGTAGAATCCCTATAGATCCCTTTAAAGACCCCTTATAACTACCCATGAACCGCCAGGTGCCCCTGCAGGCCTCTGGGCGCATGAGGAGCTGTCGATAGAAGTTCTGTCTGCCTGCCAGCTCCTCTGTGGAAGCGACCTCGGCTGATCAGTTCCGAGTCGACACAGTAAAAGAACAAAAGTTGGAAACCCCATAGCCTCAATCCTTAAGAGTAATGTATAGGGAACCCCAGCACTAGCTGGCCTTAATCCGGTTTCCAACTTTATGGGCTTTACTGTAATATGATTTCAGCTTGAGGGTGTGTAGGATTTAGGCCTTGGGGCGAACTTAGCCCGACATCGGGTTTGGGGTTTAGGGTCCAGAACCGTGAACGCTACATGACCAGAGCTAAGAAAGATACCCCTCAACTCAACTCGAGCCCCATTGCAGGATTAACCCGGGTGCCTGACAGGCTCTAGCTCTAACATGGGGGCCTTTGGTAGTTAGAATAGGGTTTCGGGGCCCAGTATACTATAGTTCTAATAAGGAGCCCGCAAATTCGTCTTATGGAGGCCCCCATTTTGACTCCCCGACACATCCGCCCGTTTGCTCGATTCCGACCCAAAACCCGAAATCGCGAACCCAAAAATTCTCAGCCCGCCGACTCCTGAGACTTTGGTCTGCCGAATTCCTCAAGAGCGGCTCTAAACCCACCTTCCGGTGGTAAGTTCATGTAAAGGTCTTGAGTCTAGTGTTAATTAGGGTTCGGGTCCTTGATAATTGGACTAGGTTTTCGGGGCTAGGTCCTCGGTTGCACCATAATGACATGGCAGCGATAAGACAATATATGAGCGCAGGACTTGAAATATCTTCAAACCTCCAACGTGGTGCGGTTTGGAAATTTCTTAGATTGCAGGTCCGTCTTGGAGGCGCTACTTGGGGTCCCTCTGCTGAATCTCCAGAGCAAGGCTGTGGTGCATGTTTTCCTAAAGCTTCGCTGGACTGACTTTATGTATTCAAGGAGGAGCGGTACACCTGTTACGCTGCCCGAGAAAGGACAACGATAACTCTTCTGCGAAGACCTCTGTACTCAACAGCGACGTATTCCCCTTACCCTGTAAGCCCTATGAGCCTCATCCGTAATGTTTGGTCCCTCTGCCCTCTACGCGGCAACTGGAACCTCACACCTAAACACCACACCGGAACTACACCCCCCTAGAACCTTTTGGGGAAGCACCGAATTCCTAACCAACTGCGAGCCCGACTCCAGCTGCTGCCGACCGGAGCCAGCGCCTGAAGATTACTTTCCCAGAGCCCCATTCCCAAAAAGCCTGCACCACAAAGCTCTTAATATCATGACCCGAATACTTAGAGTAAGGTTTTGGGGTATATTCTGCTATAAGTGTGCTACGGAACCACCAAGCTAGTATACGTAGTTATTGAGGCTACTACATTAAACCGCGAAGCACCGAACCACCCCAGACACCCACTCCCGCACTAAAGCCTCAAGCCACGACCCCGAAAATAGTGCCATAATGTAGGAACCTGACTAAGAAACCCTGGGCCTATAATCCCAAAATAGTAGGGTTCATGAAAAGAACCCTAATAAAGGCCCAAGGTTTCTTAATCAGGTTCCTACATCTACAGTCCGTGCCTCCGACATACCCGATGGCCCTGAGCCCAAAGCCCGGTAAGCGTTATAAACACCTATAGATGTCGTATGGAACTCAAAGAACTCGATAACCCACCCAAAAACATTAAAAACCCTTCAAGAAACACTAAACGTTGAACCCTTCTCGTGGGAAGGCATGAACCTCTCAGCAATTATTCACGACCCGTTGCTGCACTTATGCCCGTCGCCTCGGTTTGACACCGATCTCTGACCCAGACCTATGGGCCCTGCCTACATTATGCGACCCTCAGGATAAGCCATCGTTGCAGGCGGTGCCGATGTGCCATGAGGGTTTAGTGCTTGGGGTTGCTCGCTTGGATCTTTGCAGGCCAGTACATGCCCAAGACTTTTAGAGAGAACCGATGTCCAGTGGGTTTGTGCCATCCGAGAACCCTAAAGTTCCCTAAAGACTCATACATGAACCCCAAAAAGGCCTTTACACCTTAAGCCCTGCACCCCCCAAAAAAAACGCGAACTGCCCGGGAGTGCCGGGCCTCGCATCCGCGCAGAGGAGATCCTCGGCGTGGCTGTCCGGAGCCTGCAGGGCTTCTTTGGGAGGTTTTTCGGAGTTTGGGGTTTGAGGTTTAGGGTTTTAGGGTTTCGGGGTTTGGGGTTTAGGGTTTTAGGGTTTCGGGTTTAGAGTTTTCGGGTTTAGAGCTTAGGGTATAGGGTTCAGGGGATTCAAGGGTTTCCTCCAGACCGGTTTCAGGGTTTACAGGCTGACATAGGGTTTAGATTTTTTGAAGATTCGAACATCATCCGAAGTAGAGATGCGGAAAAACAAACAAGCACAAACGCTCCTTTTTTGCAGGGTCCCTGTAATTCCCATAATGTAGGGTTCATAATCAGAACCTACAAGTGGAGAAGCATAGGAGCGAAGTAGAAAAGCGGAGAAGCGGAAAAGCAAAGAAGCAGACAAGCAACAAAACAGAAAAAACAAAACGAAACAACAAAAACACGAGCAAGAACAAGCAGAAAACGGCAAGCTTTGGAAACACAGACAGAAGGCAGAAAGAACCGCTGAAAAGCAGAAAAGCGGAGGAAGAGAAGACCGAAGCAGGCGAGCAGCGAAGCGGAAAAGAAGAGAAGAAGACAAGCGCAAGAGCCACAAACAAGCAAAACGCAACACGCAAACAACAGCAAAAGGTAGAAAGGGAAAACACAAGCGAAGCGTCAACAAAACATCAAATGCCCACCAAAATAGTATTGGTAATTATCTGGGCCCCCACATGGGTGGTTGTCAACATGATGGTCCCTTTTGGGGTCCCTAAAGCTACCAACTAAACACCATAGGGCTCCTTTGCCAAAAAGGGAGCGAACGTCATCGCAATACTGCTCTCAAATCCGAAACCCAACCACTAAGCCCCCAAACCTCATTACCCCTCCACCCCGAAAACCCACAACCCTAACCTCTTTAGTCCCTAACCGCCCTAACCTCCCCAAAACCCGGCCCTAACCCCTGAACCCTAGACATTCTGAAACAGCAAATGCGGACATGTCAGGGCCTCCTCCTCTTGCAGGCCTACACGTCGAAGCCTCGAGTTCGAGAGACGGGAAGACACGAGGACGTAGGGTTGGAGTAGTGTTAAGTTTAGGGATTTGGGATCAGGGTTTAGGGATCCAGGGTTGAGCGCTTAAGGCTTAAATGTTGAGGATTTGGGGCCATTTAGGGTTTAGGGATCTAGGGCTTAGGTTTAAAGTTGAGGATTTAGGGATTTAGGGTCGGGGTGCAGCGGTTCAAAGTTGAGGGGTCTAGACTTTGGGGCCTACGGCGTAGGGTTTCGGGACTAGGGTTTTGAGGGTTTCGGGCTTGGTATTGGGATTTAGGGTTCAGGGGGCGGGGTGTAAGGATTAGGGTTTGGGTTGTTTCCGGAGGAGCTTGCACCACATCCTGTAATTTCGCATATCTCCCATAGGCTCTCCCAAACTGGTGCTTCTAGTGTTACATGACGTGGAGAGTGGGATTGAAGCTGGGGGGGTAATGGCCTGGAGTTTAGAAATCCGATCCGGGGCTCGGTTTTAGGGTTTTGGGGGATGCCATGCACTGCTCGGGATTTGGATCACAGGCCTTCGGAGCTAAGCCTGGTCTGAAGTTTGACTATATATAGTCCATATATATATATATATATATATAGAGAGAGAGAGAGAGTGTGTGTGTGTCTCTCTCTCTCCCCATATATATATATATATATATATATATATATACATGCACATATATATATATACACACATGGTCTCTCTCTATATATAGATACATATATATGTAGTCTCTCTCTATATACATAAATATGTATATATGTATAGGAAGCTCCCCAGTGATCCCCCCTAAACTACGGGTTCTCTCACTCTCTCTCTCTCTCTCTCTCTCTCTCTATATATATATATATATTAATACATATATGTGCCGACACATACTCTTTATTAATGTTCGGAGACATTGTGCATGTATCATGTCAGCATGTAAACAGCACAAACATGAAACACCTCTCTGCATAAACACCATATGAACCCTCGCCTAATACCGGTTGCAGTTTAAATATATGAGGAACCCCCAAATCGTCCCCAATATGGTATTTGCAATTGTTTAGCGCCCCTATGTTACAGTACCCTTATAGATCCCTTATAGTAGCCCTTATAGCCCTTAAAGGAACCCTAGGAACCCTATAGACTGACCCCTTTAAAGGAACCCTAGGAACCCATAGGCCTCCTTCAAAGGAACCCGGAACCCTAGGCCCTAGGAACCCCTTTAAAAGAACCCCAGAAGCCGCAGGAACCCGTAGCTTTTTGCAGCATCCCCAGCCCTTTTTTGAGGCCACGGCAAGGCAGAGGGGCCGGGAACCACCGTCACAGCGGCCTTTGCAGTGGCCGGTACTGGGGTAAGGAATTTTCAGGGTTTCGGGTTTGAGGGTTTAGGGTTTAGGGGTCTAGGGTTTCGGGGTCTAGGGTTTAGGGTTTGGGGGTGTAGGGTTCAGGGGTTCAGGGTTTAGGGGTCGAGGGTTCAGGGGTTTAGGGTTCAGGGGTTCAGGGTTTAGGGTGTACAAGGTTTGTACGAACGATGCAGAAGTGGTATCTAGCTTTGTAACACCGCCAACAATGTTGAACCTACATAGCATGACCGTCGTAGTAGAGTAGTAGATTTAGTGGTAGCAGTAGTAGAAGTAGGAGGAGGAGGTGTTGAGGGAGCCAGAAGCTCCATCGGATCCGTGGACCATGTCAGGTTGCCGTTTTGACGGCGGTGTCGCTGCGTTTCAGCTTCCTGCGCTCTTGTCAAGGGGCTTTGAACTAAGTTATCATGGTAAGGAAACCTTGTTATGTACGATAGGTCTCCATTCTGGCAGCTGAACTTAAACCCTGTAACAAGAACCAAGGCTTCTTGCTCTTCGACAATGTGAAGGGTTGGTGGCATGGTACTACAAGTAGACTCTAAGCATGGGTGTTGGCTTCTGCACGGGCCCGCAGCGAGTAACAATCCGAGTGGCTTAAGTCAAGCCAAAGCCCAAACATCCAGACCCTCAAACCCGTCATGCCCAAACCCCTAGATGCCGCCACTTGTAATTTCTTAAACCTTCAACCCAAAGCCCTAAGCTCAAAACTACAGCCTCACACCGAAATCTCTAAACCCCCAAACCGCAACACCCTAAAGCCAGAAAGCCTCAAACCTTGAACTTAAACCGCGGAACCGCAAATGAAGCCCACAGGAAATCCTAAGCCCTAAACCCCTGAATCCTAACTTCAGCCCCAAACGAAACAAAACCCCAACTATCCCCAAATCCCAAGGCCAAAGCTGGGCAAAAGTCTGCCGCCGACCTGCCAGGCAAACCCGCCGGGTGTGGGCTTTATGGCGGAAGTTAATATAGGGGCCTAAATAGTTGCCAATCCTTATTTGGGGGAGGGGGGGGGTCCTCAATATGATTATGGTATAATGGCACCTTTATGGGTAGTTGTCAAAATTAGGGTCCCTTGTTGGGTACCCTAAATAATAGGTGCCGTACTATAATAGGGACCCAAGAAGGGACCATAATTTTGATAACAATTTTGACCACCTCCCATATATATATATATATATATATATATATATATATATAAGGGTTTTAACCTTCACGTTTTAGGGATGGGCTGGTTGAGGACTTTGGGTTTTTTCACGGGGGGGGGGGGGGGGGGGGGGTGAAGGTTTGGGACGGAACTTAAGGGAGACCTTGGGCATGTTGTGGGTACCCATAGGCCCCACAGTAGTTCCTTTTTGGGATTACCTTATAGGATTCTAAACATGAACCCCAAAAAGGAGCTACTATGGAGCCTTAGGGTAGTTCTCCAACTTAGGATCGCTTCGAGATCCCAAAAAACAGTGCGTGGCATCCTTATGAAAAGCAGCCCAGAAGGCATTTATCCTAATTTAAGGAGCTACCCGCATGACATAAGGTTTACAGTACCACCGAAAATATTAAAGGCAACCCACTATACTACTCGGTTGGTTGCTTAATGTGTGAATGTTCAGGGTGTGATTGTCTAGGCTTGGGGACATGAAGGCATAGGGTTTACGGCTCAGGGAGTGTATGTGTAACGAAGTGCTATGTCCCATGCGGTCACGCGGCCTTCCATCCAACATATGTTTTCTTCAAGAAGGGCTTTGGGGTTCGCTGTGAAGTTCTACCTGGGGACATAAACCCAAGACCCTACTACTACTACTACTACTACTACTACTACTACTACTACTACTACTCCTACTACTACTACGACTACTACGACTACTACGACTACTACGACTACTACTTGTGATTCTCACCTTGCTGCTGACTACTCCCCGGAACCCACGTCCGAAACCCCTCCTGGACTGAAGAAGAGCACGAACAAACCGACATCCTAAACCGATTCAGGCCCATGTGGAGAAGCCCAGATGGGTGGTTGTCAAAATTATGGCCTTTTTTTGGGCACCCTAAATATTAGGTGACGGTGCCGTGCGAAAAAAGGGAACCAAAAAGGGACCCTAATGTTGACAACCACCCATATAGGTCTGTGATCAAACATTCTCCTTCTACCTGGAGAACAGACTGCCTTGTGAAACTCTTACAACCCGCGTAGAAGACTCATGGCACCCATATAAGAATCGTTCAAGGGACCCCTAGAGATCTTCTGGGAACCCTTCTTGGAACCCCTATAGATCTCTTAAGGGAACCCTCAGGGGAACCCTATAACTAGATCCCTTAAAAGAGCCCTTGAAGGAACCCCTATAGATCCCTTAAGGGAACCCTTATAAAAACCCTATAATTAGGAACCCTTATACGAATGAAGCCCTATGCAGGCTTTCATCCACCCGGGTAGCCCGGCGGCGGTGTGCAGAGGTCCGCGCTTGCAGCGCTTTTTCGCGCGGCCTCCGCGCTTAAGGATTCAGGGAGTTTTGGCACAGTTTAGGGTTTGGAAGTTAGGGTTTACGGTTTAGGGTTTCGGGTTCAGAATTTCGGCTTTAGGGTTTCGGGGCTAGGGTTTAGAATTTCGGGTTTAGGGGTTTAGGGTTTCGGGTTCGGGAGTGTCAAACCCACATACAACGTAGGTCTTAGATAGGGTCTACAATTTTGGATTTCCGCTTGAAGATCCGAAATAAGTGTTTCGGACATGGCCCGCTGGGTTAGGTTGAAGGGACGAGGTTTCAACACTTCAGCCAACAGACATCTAGAATCTAGACTCTAGACTCTAGGTGAATATGACAGCCTAGTTCGTAATCAGGACAAGTTGCTGCGCTGCATAAGTCCCTGTAGCTACATGGCATAAATGTTCCTGGTATATTTTGAGTATTGACCATACAGAAGAAGAACGATCACAAAGCAGACGGTGCCAACCTCAAAGCACTGAGAACCCTCAACCAAATATCCTAAACCCTAGAACCCTTAAACGTTTAAACCCTCAACACCAAACCATTAAACCCCAAACCCTGAAACCCCAAGCCGCAAACCCTGAACCCTGGATCCCTTTGAAGGAGCCCGCAAGGCTTAAAAGTCTCCTGTACTCTTAGCCACGCCCGCGCCTCGTAGTGGCAAACAGCACCTCAGCGGAGTGTTGTCACAGTTCTCACAGTGGAGTGCCTCTAAGTTTCGTGCCATGTAGTATATGTACCATAGAGTATAGAGTTTGAAGTGCAGAGTATAAAGTATATAGACATAGACTATGGGAGTACAGAGTATCGTTTGGAACAGAACAGAGATGTTACTCTGTAGATCTGAGTCATAGTCATAGTCTGTGCCTCGGCATCTTTCCGGCACGCTGGGCGAGAAGGATTTGTGATGGGGACTGGGCATTCACGGGCACCGTGCAAACTTCTGGCTCACGCAGCAGTGGTACGTTGGGCGTGCAAGAATGTCCTGTTGTCAATCATTCTTTGCCCTTGGACGCAACCATGGCACCTACAGCAACCCTTGACACCCTAAACCTCGCAACAAGCCCTCGATCAACCCTAAACGTTGAGAACAAACCCTCAAGGACCAGACTCAGCGCGCTGGCCACGCTCCCATCGCTACCGGCGTCCAGCGTGTCTGCCGCAAAGGTTCAGTCACATTTTTGTCGGGATTTAGGGTTTCGGGCTTGGAAAGTATCAGATCTCGGTTGCAGTATTTTGGGCAAAAGGTTAGAGATACGAAGGATTCTAAGTGTTAGTATCTAAACAATACCTATGAATAAAGCGTGATGATGCCGAATGTCAATCTGGTGCTTGCACCACTTCTAGGGATGGTAGCACCCATACGACCGGAAGCAGAATGAGGCATAACCACAGCACAACGTGGCAGCCATGATATGGGAGTTTCCGAAAATAGGGGACTCTAATATAGTACCCTAAATAGTAGGATCCTTATTCTAAGGGCCCCAAAATAAGGCACCCCTATTTTCGGAAACCCCCATATAGTACAAGAAGTCAAGAGGCCAGGGCCTCGACTTCAGGGTTTAGGGTTATTAGGGTTCCGGATCCACTGCAAAAGCAAAACTCTAGCCAACTACGGGGCTAGCTTCAGGGCTTGAGGGTGTAGGATTTGAGGAAATAAATTAAGTCTTCCATGAGGGGGCCTGGATAAGGCTGCTTTGCAGGATTGCTGATGAATCCAAACGAGCTTTCATCGGGAGGCCTTCGAGAGCGTGCCGTCGGGCGTGTAGACCCTAAGCATAGGGCCATATGAGACACCAACTTGGAAACCTCTTCAACCAGAACCGACCAACCCCAAAAACACCCCTAACCGTAAACCCTAGGCCATTTCTGAAAATGGTGGACCCGAATATAGTACCCTCAATAGTAGGATCCTCATCATAAGGAGCCCAAAATAAGGCACCCCTAATCTTACCTTTGGTTAGTAGTAGTACTAGTAGGGAGTGGAAGAATGGTAGTAATAGTAGTCATAACCGTACCCCATTCCTCCATTCCCGACTAACCAAAGGTAAGTAATTTTCGAGAAAACTTACCCTAAATAGTAGGATCCTTATTATATGGACCCCAAAATAAGGTTCCCCCCCTAATTTTCGAGAAAGCTCTAAGCCTCCTTCCCGGCCAGAGGCGACCAGCTCTTCGCCGAGCCATTTGCCTCGGTCCAGAGACTCTACAAACCGACCTGAACCCTAAATTTGAAACCTTACCCTATGCCTCCAGGGACCTTATTATGGGGTCCTTAAGGGGTCTAGGGCCCTAACTATGACGTCCCTGGAGGGATAGGGTTAACTCGACATTAGGGACATTTATAAAGATCCTATCGACATCTATGTAGAACGAGGTTTTGAGCCTTAAACACCAAGCTTTAGACCGTCTCGACCCCTAAACCTTCAACTTCAGACCCTTGGCCCCAAACGTCCTAACCCCTAAAGAAGCCCAGGAGAAGAAATCCCACCAAGAAGGACAGGGGACTACCCGAGAGCCTCTCGGCATGATGCATGAGACCAGAGGCCCCAAAACACCCTTCAATCACAGGGGAAAAGGAGGGACTCTTAATGGGGACCCCCTACCCTATAATGGGCTATATACTGGGTATATAGTAACTATATTAAGTGTACATTAAGGGTTATATACCTGGGGGTCCTTATTAAGGGTCCCTCCTTTTACCCTTGGATTCAATCTCACTGAAGCTCTGAAACCTTCAACCCTGAGAGCTTGAAACTCCAAACCCAAATCCTTGAAACCCCAAGCCCTAATCACCCGAGGACCCTGAAGAGCGTAGCCCCAATACTCTTGGGTTCTCAAGCCGCAAACTTCCACCCGCTATCGCTGTCATCGGGGCCTTAGCAATTCGATCTGGCCGTAAGTAGTTCAACAATTATATGAGAAACTCTCAGGAAGAGTCTTCGTCATTACTCAAGCCCCTCCGTGTACCTTGACAACCTTGTCGCTGGGGCTGCGGCGCGCAAGGCGCTGCAGTGAGGCGACCCGCACCTGGCGTCGCTGACGCTGCCAGGCCTGAAATCGCGAGTACCTGAGCGTGTTGGCGGGCTTCTTTGGGGAGTTTTGGGTTTAGGGTCTAGGGTTTAGGGGTTTAGGGTTGAGGGTTTAGCGGTTTAGGGTTTAGGGTCGTGGTATGGACAGCCCGCGAACCTGAAAGCCCTTACCTAAGCTAAACCAGAGTCAAAGCTCCGAGACCTGCAGCCAAAACAGAATATAGGGGTTTAGGGTTTAGGGTCTAGGACGCTAAGGGAAACCTATCCTAATCATTCCAGTCTGGTACGCTCTCAATTATTAAGGTCCCTACATGGGTGGTGTGGTTGTCAAAATTATGGCCCCTTTTTGGGTAACCTAGTATTAGGTGCCTAAGTATTAGGTGCCGTATTATGATAAGGACCGCTGTAAGCGCGTCGTGGCTTGTGATGCTTCTGTGATTGCATCTTGGCACTGAGCTGGTGAATGACTTGACTGTTGTTCTTGACAAATTCTAGGTTCTTGTTTGTGTCCATTCATGTTTCACGTGCACCAATGAGTGCTTCATGCAATCGACCGACTGATGTCCGTTAATAATAATATGATAAGGACCCAAAAAGGGACCCTAACTTTGACAACCACCTATCTTGCATGGCGGCCCTCTATCAAAGGGGAAAAGGAGGGACCCTTAATGGGGATCCCTACCCTCTATAATAGCTATATTAAGGGTATATACCTAGGGGTCCTTATTAAGTGTCCCTCCTTTACATGGCATCCCAAACCTTGCCGTAAGGCGGCCCGTAGCTGGCTCCGAAGAGCGTCAGCAGGTCCGCAAAGCAGGTCATGGCGTTTCCGCCGGAGCGCAGGGTGTAGGGCTCTAGGGCTTTGGGGTTAAGGGTTTTAGGGTTTAGGGCTTTAGGGTCTTAGGGTTGAGGGCTTTAGGGTTTTAAGGTTTAAGGCTTCAGATCGACCGGGTTTTACGGGCTCATAGCTTCATGACACAGAGGCTCTAAGCCCTGGCCAGGGGCTTGCGGCTAAGGGAACTCATGGTGCGAAGCCCGGGGCTCGGCTTCCAACCGGCTCTGTTGAAGTCTTGCTGGTTTTGCGGCTTAAGGCTTCAGGACCTGAGGGCTTCTAGGGTTTAGGGTAGTGGTTTTCGGGTCTTAGGGTTTTGGGTTTTAGTTTTAGGGAATTATGGGCTTTGGCTTGAGGTGCTTAGGGTTCTGGGGGCTTTGGGGTTAAGGCTGAAGTGCAAAGGCTTGACATGCAAGGCGTGGGTGTCGAGAAGCTCTCGCCGATATATTGCTATGAGCACCAACCAATCACAACAAATGGAAGCTGCAACCAACTTCACCATAGTCATACTTGCAAGAACAACATTATTGGCAATGCACGGGCCTTGGGGGATATTCTAATATTATATATATATATGTTATAATATAGTCATAACCTGTACTATACGAGGACCTTTAGGAGCTCGTGTTGTCGGATCTTAGGGCTTGCGATAGGGCCAAAATAATGATCAATATAGTGTAGCTCAAGTTCTTCTGCACAAAAGTAGAGCTTCCGTCATATAAGAAGAGTATATAGTATGCCCCAAACGCGATCCATTCTAATCATTCGGGCCCGCATATTCAACCATATTCAACCATGTGCCGGGCTGGTCGTGAGGCGGATAGCTCCGAACCCTCAAACTCCTGTAACTCAAGCCCGCAATCCTCCTAAACCCTGAAAATTAAACCCGCAAACCCCAAAAGCCGAACATCCTGAACAGGGGAACTCGCAGGCACAAGTTCGAGGCTCTAACACGTCACAGCCCCAAACCCTCGAACCGAAAACACTTGGAGCCCTTGCTAGATAGAAAGCCCTACTTAAATACTAGGCCAAGAACAGACCAATGTTATTCCTAGGTCCCGTATTGCAAGTATCCTGCTTCAATATACTCCTCCTGTCAAAGTATACCCCCAAACCCTGCTAAAATCATCAAGGCCCTATAGTACGGCCTATATTAAACCCTAAACCCTAGATCCCTACACCCATCCTAAACCCTAAACCAAACAACCCTAAACCTAATTAACCCCTAAACCCCTTCGTGCTCTCTTTTTGTTCGGCAGGGCGCCTCAAGCTCCAGGCCTTTACATTGTGGGTTCAACCCACCGTCGCGCGCTTCACAGCGATCAGCGTCAAGAGACCTACGAAACCTTCCTTAATTCAGGACCAAGGGTGCCCTGAAAAAGGGACAAGGATTATGTAATCTTCATGCCGGTTTCGCGCAGATTCTGACTTTGGCTGTAACTATCATTGGGCTCTTTACCGAACAAAGCCCCTACTTTACAGGGCCCTTTGGTCCTTGAGGGCTCAGCACCCGGCCGTTAATAAATCGGGGATCCCCACTGCAACAAAGAGCACGAACCTTGAAAGTGTCGAGATGCAGTGTTTGGGTGTATGATGATATGTTGAAGATGCGGGGGAATGGGGACCAGGCTCACCGGACAGTTTCGGGTTCAGGGTATTATGAGGTTCATGGCCCCCTGAATCCTGTCTAAAAGCCTGAAAAATACGCTTCCTTCGAAGATCAGGGGACCCCCCCCTAGGTAAGAGAGAGCGCCAAAAAACAAGCGGGAGAATCTGAACAGGGCACGGTCGAGGAATCTCAGGTTACGGGGTAGGGCTTGCAAGGCTTAGGGTTTTAGGGTTTAGGAGCAGGCTACTCAGAGCGGGTTCAAGGTTCACGGTTGAGGGGCACTCAAGATTGCGGGACCCTAAACCCTAAACCCTAAACCCTATAAAACCCTAAACTGGCGATGGGGGTTTAGGGCTTTCGTCTCTAGGGGTCGATTTTGTCTTGAGTCATCATTGCAGCACTGGCATAGCTGCAGAAAGCAGGCCTTCCAAAGTCAACACCTGCAACAAAGAAACATAAGATCATCATCATCATATCCATCATCACCTCGATCACAGAAACATAACCATAACATTCGCACTCACAAGCAGGGCAATGCACACTGTCAAGCTTTTAGGAGCTCCTATTTTTACTGACTCCTGACATCATGAAGTATGTCTGCTAGAGCTTCTCGTGATAAGCCCGAATACTTTTGCTCCTGTCGTTGCTGCTGCTGGTGCCACTACCAATGCCTTCAGCATAACCGTCACTGTGGCTGTGACTAGTAACTAGTACTGTAGGGCCTTGATAATTAGAATAGGCTGCAGGACTAATGTCGGTAGTTATGCTGAACCACACCACACTTTAGAAGCCTTTTGGAACCGCGACAGCAATCCTTCGAAGAAGCCCTGCCGGTGATTACCTCATATCAATCTTACTCACCATGCCTAACCATGCCTTCTAGAATCACTATTGCCGCGGCTGTAGCGACTGCAACGTCTATAGAGTGAGGGTACCATAGCTAGCGCGAATGCTGGGACGTAGTGCGTCCCCCACTCACAAAAAGATGTAGAAGCCGAACTCCTACTCCTACTCCTACCACTACTCCTACTCAACTCCTACTCCTACTCCTACTCCTACGCCTACGGCTACGGCTACGGCTACGGCTGATGCTACTGCGACTGCGACTGCGACTGCGACTGTGACTGCTACTGCTACTGCTACTGCTACTGCTACTCCTACTGCTACTGCTGCTCGTCGTCGTCGCCCAAGTGCACACTCGTCTTAGTTCTAGTCCTAGTCCTGGTCCTGGTCGGAGTCCGAGTCCTAGTCCTAGTAGTAGTAACCCTAAAGCCTAAACCCTACACCCTTCACCCCCCATAATACCCTCTATAGTAGTCTTTATAGCTCCCTTTGAAAGGAACCCTTAAAGGAACATCGAGGAGATGAGGTCTTCCAGGCATCGGAGACCAAGCCCTGATTTCTACTTCTACGCCCTTGGGGTCTGACGGTGCCTCCCGCACGGAGGCCGCGCAAAGAGCTGGGTCGAAACCCGCAACTTTCTTTTGGAGGGGGCCTTGAGAGCTACCGTAGGGTTTTGGGGGCGTTGGGGGGGGAGTGGTTAGCCCTGCTAGAAATACATAGCGATTGCGGAGTCATCACGACCAGGATCATCAATATGCTAGCGCTTGTTAGAGTATGCGATTACTGCTACGTGAAGGGCCGTCTAGGACCTTAGGAAGGATGGGTCAAGCTTCAACCCTAAAACCTCTCAGACTTATAAGCTCAGGGTTTAGGGCTTGGGGACCTCTAAGCACCGTAAGCTCTACGGCTTTGAGATTGCAGTTGTAGGCCTTGGGATTTAGGGTCGTTTCAGCTGCCCTACGCCACCGAAGCTCGTGGAAGAGCCTGAAGGTCCGTAAGCCTTAAATCCCTAAGCCCGAACCCCTAAACCCTAAAGTTTACAATACCCAAAACCCCAAAACCCTTAACCCTCAAATCCCTGGCCCTAAACCCTTAAACCCTTAGCCCTTGAATCCCTGAACCCGAAGAGCTGCTAGAGGACCTCAGCGCAGGGGCGCTAGTGGCTCAGCTTCCTCTTCTTCCAGCTCAAAAGTACCTTTTGGTGTGTGTGTGTGTGTGTGTGTGTGTGTGCCTGTGCATGCGCATGCGTGGTGGGTTTGGGGATTCGGGTTGGTCCGGGCTTCTACACAAAAGATCTTCAGGGCGCTTCGAAAGAATGTTGAATAGGTTGCGCAAGGCTTATGAAACTTAGGGGTCATTGAGTATATAGTTTAGGCCGGGGCTGCGGGCTTTTAGTGCTTCAATAGATCTAGAATCTCGAATCTCCAGACTTAACAGGGAAGTAAACCTAGCATAGATTATACTGGGTTTAGGGTTTAGGGTTTAGGGTTTAGGGTTATACATAATGCAGTCCCTACTGCAAGGACCCTCCCCCGGAAGTAATTACCAAAACCTGGCTCACTGGTACTTGGATCCTCAACCCACGGGTATGGGGGGCTCCTGTGGGCTTTTTGGGTTTAGGGTTTACAACCCAAGCCGTCTTTACGTGCTGCCTTCGGCTTGTGTAAAAGGATGCTGGACCCTCATAGCAACCCTTTGTGGAAACCTTACCTTGGGGCTAAACTTACGGGTTGCCAGGTACATTGTTTCAAACTTGAGGCATCCTGTAGTCTCTATAGAGGGTGGATAGCCATAGGCCCCAAAGTAAGTGCTTTTTGGGCTTCCTATATAGAATTCTATTAGGTAATCCCAAAAAGGAACTACTTTGGGGCCTATGGGTAGAGTTGATGGGTTTGATAAGGGCTTACAAGGTTTTGGTGGTTTGATAGAAGCATGAACCTGTTCGAACAAACTGTAACATTTTGGGAAGTGGGTCTATGCTCCACGCCACTTAACCATATTCGAGAGCTCTAAAGAATTCTGTGCCCATAGTTCCGATCCCTCTGCCAAGATGGGGATCGATTTATCAGACTTGCAGTTTGGGGTTCATCATGTTTTTATTCAAAATGACTATTAGTGAATTTACGAAAATTAGGGGGACCTTGGTCCTGATAAGAAGGATCTTACTAATCAGGGTACGATATTAGGGTCCCCGATTTGCGGAAACTCCCACAACTGTCAGGGTATAGTAAGGGTACAGTATTGCCAACAGTTGCCACCAGTTCCGACCCACAGCAGGGCCCTGGGTCGCAAGTCCAGAGAGCTCGTATAGGGTTCCAAGCTTTAGGGCTGCATAACTTGAGCTCTAGCTTCCTCTAAATAGCTTGCTTGTCCAGCATCCTACGTACATAGGAGGAACTCAAGGTTAACTTATATACAGAGGGATATGCGAATGGTCACCTACTCTCCGACTAGATGGGCATTCCTCCTTCGTTTCTGTAGGCCACAGTCTACCCCCCAACCCCTAAACCCTAACCCCCCCGAAACCCTAATCCCATCCGGTTTTGGCGTTGACCTTCGGAGGGCACCTGCGCCCGCGAGGATATCGTTCTTGGCGCGCCAGCCATGACTCGCCTGCTGGGCGACAGGCGAAATCGAGGAGTGCGTGTTTGGAAAATATTAAGGTTTAGGATGTGCCCTACACCCCAGTCCCAGTTAGTAAACCCCAAACCTCCAATGACTTGCCAGTGTTCCCATGGCGGTTGTTCTTGATAGGGTTTCGGATCCGCAGCGATGAGTATCGGGTCAGCAACAGTGGGTCAGTAATAAAAGAAAATAAAATAAGGATGCGGGGTGGAGTCTGATATCATTCTGAGTCCGCAGTCATCGTGAGGGCCACGCCCCAAAATCCCACACCTGCTGATAGGTACAGCGTGCCTCGCGGCGCTCACGACGGCTTCGACAGTGAAGCCCTTTTCAGTCTGGACCTGAAGGGCAGTCTGGAGTTTACTAGGTTCTTGTTACAGTAGTGAATTTAATCTATATAGGTTACTATGATAGGGACCTATGGTTAATAGTATGGCTTCCTTTTTATGGTAACTTCGAGATTCCTTGACAAGAACCCAGTCTAGTTCCAAAGAGTGCCCAACGATTCGCTCGCGGTAGCGCCAGGGTGTAGGGGTTCAGGGTTCGGGGTGTATGTACCAGGAAGAGCATTTCGTGTCGAGGGCGACGGGCTTAAGACCGGTAGTGGCTCGGGTTTTGATTTGACATGAGGAAACCCCTCAACCCTAAACCCCAAAACCCTAAACCCTAAATCCTAAACCCGAGCTGATGAGGCTCCTTTATCGCAGCGATATCCTTGCCTCAACCCGACACTTTCAATCCCGGAAGCCAGCGTTTATAGGGTTCCCCAAACCCTGAACCTACCTCAATTTCGCAACACATGCACAGAAAGATCCGACCTCACACCCTGGACTCTGAACCTGAAGTCTTACGGCCCTCAACCGCAACTCGCAAATCCCTAAAAAAAACCTAAACCCCACGACAATCTAACCCCCACATCAGTCAACTACACCCAAAACAACCCACAAAACCCCGAACCCCTAAATCTGTCACTCTGAAAGCCCTACACGCCTAAAGCTTAAAAAGCACAGTCCGCTTTTCCAGGCCTTCTTGATGGGCCCCGACGCTCCGAAAATGATCATACCAACCTTTTACGGATTGCGGGATTAGGGCCTGGTGTCTACAAGGCTTCAGGGACTTGAGATTTGGGTGTACGGTCTTGGCTTTATGGAGTTTGGCTTAGGGATTTCGGGATAGGGATGAGGATGGGTTTACAGTTTCTGTCTGGCAGCATATGGGGCTTCGGGTTTAAGGTAAAATCTGTTCGGAACAGAACATGTTCGGAGGTGTCAAGAGCTTAAGACCTAATTTGGGGTCTGCGGTTTGGGTCTTAGGCTTAGGCTTTGGGATTGGGGAAGGCTTGGTGTTTATAAGCTTATTGGCCGATACAACTCCCTATGCAACCCTGGTAAAAACCCTGAAACCCTAAGGCCATAAAACCCTTGAAGCCCCTGAAGCCACCCCAGAGTCTCTGCGGCACGAGCTGCGTGCTCTCCGTCCAGCCCTATGAGGCTTCCTGAGCACACGAGGCATCGGAACCCGAAGGCTTCAAAAATCCTGGGGATTAATCTTATGAGGGTTTCTGTAGGGTTTACGGGTTCAGGGCGAAGGGGCTTAGGGTGTGGGGTTTAGGGGTTTATGCAGGGTTAAGGGGTTAAGGGTTTAGGGTTTAGGTTTAGTCTTGGGGAAATTTACGGTTTAGGGGAGCCTCAATATCAGGGGTTTGTATGAAAGGTCACTTGATCATAAGAAACACATACAAGTATCGCACTGACGATTTCCTATAAAGCTTTATAGAGGTGTAGTATCTCGGTGTTGGATTTCCTATAACTGAGCCAGGGATCCCTCAGTTCCATAATGTAGGAACCTGATTAAGAAGCCTTGGGCCTTTATTGGGGTTCCTCACATGAATCCTACTATTGTGGGATTATAGGCCCAGAGTTTCTTAATCAGGTTCCTACATCAAGGCATTCTAAGACCAATCAAAGAGACCCCATACCAGGCGGTCCAGGCCCGCCATTAGGGACGCCCAATCTCTGTAGGGCTCTGTATCGGGTGCGGTAGGAACCTTCATAGAACCCCCTAATTAAACCACTGTAAAACCCTGAATCTTTTAGGACAAGAGCACTTCAGAAAGCCCACAAACCCTAAACCCCTAAACCACCATAAACCCTAAACCCTAAATAACTATAAACCCAAAGCCGCTATAAACCTTAAAGCCTAAACCCCTAAACCACCATAAACCCTAGACCCTCAGGCCATAAACCTAAACCACCATAAACCCTAAACCCTAAAGCCCTAAACCCCTAAACCACCATAAACCCTAAGCTCTAAGGCCCCAAACGCTAAACCACCCTGAACCCTAAGGCCCTAAATCCTAAACCACCATAAACCCTAAAACCTAAAACCCTAAACCACCATAAACCCTAAACCCTAAGGTCCTGCACCCTAAACCACCATAAACCCTAAACGCTAAACCACCATAAACCCTAAACCCTAAGGTCCTGAACCCTAAACCACCATAAACCCTAAACCCCTGCACCACCATAAACCCTAAACCCTAAGGCCTTAAACCCTAAACCACCATAAACCCATCAACCCAGAAACTGCTCCGAGGATCCCCAAGAGTCGCGTCGGCTCGCTTCGATGGACACCCGCGCCCGGCAGGAGTTCGGCAGAACCTCACAATCGAGGAAAATAGTGTAAGTACAGACTAGCCTAGGGATCAAAAATAGCCCAAAAGCCCTAAGTCTTTAAGTACAGTGTCTAGCCTGAGGGATCAAAATAGCCCCGAAGCCCTATATAGTATGGTCATTAGGCCCAAAAGCCTCACAAAAAGGAGTCCTTAGATCCCTAGGGTAGGGTTCCTTTAAAGGGGTCTATAGGGGCCACTGGGCCCCAAAAGCCTATTCTAATTATAAAGGCCCCTGTATTGATAATGATAAGGGCACAAGGTCTAGGGATTAGGGATGAGGATCCAGGACAGGGTTTCAGGTTTAGGGCTACGGGTTTGGGTTTAGGGGCTTAGAAGTAGGAGGCCATGTTTTCGGGTACATTACAGTCGAAGCGTAAATGGACGATGGGAGGAGAAAAATTGCTAAAGCCCCAAATTTTGGAATTTTAGGATTTTGACATCTGCATTTCAATCAAAGGGCTTGGTTAGAGAGTCTTTTGAGGACCGTAAAAGCTGTTTATGAGCAGTTTGTTCATCGGAGTTGAAGGTCGTTGTGTTTGTGAGTTCTTCACATGGGAGTTTGGGGACCCTTATGTAGTACCCTAAACAGCAGGATCCTTATTATAAGGACCCCAACATAAGGGACCCCTAATTTTGGAAACTCCCACAGAGTTTCAACCACAGGTTTCATCGTACTTTACGGTCGGAGTCACAGTAGTTGCCAATCATGCCTCATGCCGGAGCCCTTCCCTCCCATACAAGCCGCCTCCGTCTGCGGCCAGAACCAGAATTTAAGGCTGTAAATTCAAGCGTCCTTGGGTGCATATAAAACAGCTTCATGGTCACCTTGCCGTCGGCATCCCAAAATGCCCTGCCGTCGTAGGCAAGGTGACCTGTCGGACCGAGGAGTTGGCGCCGCTTTTCTTCTTGATAATCCTGAGTCGGATAATGTTGGATATAGCAAACATGTGTTTTGCCCGCAAGGCGGCAGCCAAGGTGCGGCCAAGGCAACAAAGGTGTCGGCGTTATCGTACTTCTCCTCAGCAGCCGTGAGGGCCTTCTCGGCCTCCTTCACCTGTTCCTCGGCCCTCTTCGGGGCTGGCGTCTCAAAGCGAGGGCCCAACGTCGCGGAACTGTGTCAACGGCTTCGGTCGCCAACGCCGTCTTGCGCACAACCTCGGCAAAGCCTTGGAAGTGCTTGAACACGGTGGAGGTTGTGAAGGCTTCGCACAGCCTCGCAAAGGCAAAACAAAATCGCTTACAAAGCATGGCCGATGCTGTTTGTCTTGCAACCGTGCCACACGTGCGCGCCACCTTCTTTTGGAAGGTAGAGTACATCTGCAATTCCCGGTCAGCCCGGCTGACATCCTTCCGCGGGTTGTACTCCTCGGACATAGGCCGGCAATACTCCTTCTACTGTGTGGGTCGGGTACGCACTGTGACTGTGATGACTGTGCAATCGCTCAATGTTCCCAAGCATATACTCAGACATTGCAATGCAATTCGTCGACCAGTTTTGATCATCGCCGAGGCGATCCGAGACTGACAGCATCACGGCGTTTTTCGTCACTCGACCGTGAAGTGGACGAGGGCTGCGTACGCACTGCGACTGTGCAACTCGCTCCATCTTCCCGCACGTTCATGCACGCTCAACGCAATTCGTCGACACGCGTTGAGTATAGTTGATTTAGCCAAGCAAGAAGGATGTATCGCGGAGACAGAAAGCATCACGGCGTTTTTCGTATCTCGACCGCGACGTGCACGAGGGCTGTGCAATTCGCTCAATGTTTCCAACGTGCCTGCACATGTTGCATATAATTGCACAGTCGTCGACAGGTTTTGATCTCCACCCGCGCACGCTCTGAGAAAGGTCATGCAACGAATGCGGCGCAAATACATGTAAGCATGCTTCTGTGTTTGATGTGTTTGGAATCCGAATGCGTGCAGCGATTAATTACCAACGTTCCTGCATCGAAAGATATCGAAAGTTTCGCTATGGGTGGAATGTGCATGTGTGTTTCCACCTGGATTTAGGGAAATGAAAATCGATCAGCGCTGTCGTCTATCGTCTAATGTCGTCTTCCGCGAACGTGCTAAATCCTGCCAACGCACTGAGCGCGGATCGTACCATGTAGACAAACAAAACGTCATGTAAATAGTTGACTGCCATTCACCACCACGCAGACAGGTACCGTGGCAGCGAACGTTGCCAAATAAAGTCCGGCATATCCGGCAACGCGAAGCTGTGGCAGCAAGACTTTCCACCAGCGACATTGTGCAACGCGAGGCGACACGTCCAAAACAAGTCAAGTTCGAACATCCGTAGCCAACGTCGTCATCGTGGCAGCGTGGTATGCGATTGTAAACGCAACTGTTTATGTTGCCGTCATCGCTGACAGTTTTAGTCCAGCGAATCTTCACTGGAGCTGTTGCGTGGCAATCGTCGTCGTCATCGTTGGTCACGATATGGTTACAAACGCTACCCATTGGGGCGAAGCCACATGAAACACATGGCAGCGACGCTCAATATTTCTTCAGCGCTGCGGTTCAGCTCGCTCAGTGTGCTATGCGGAGCTGGCGAACCTTGGCAAATTTACCGCAAAAATACCCCATCGTGCGATGTTGTCTGAATCTCCGTTGCAGCTACAGCAGCCTCAGCAGCAGCAGCAGCAGCACCAGCAGCAGCAGCAGCAGTAGCAGCAGCAGCAGCAGCAGCAGCAGCAACAGTATCGCCATCGCCATGGCCATCACCACATTGTCGTCATGACAACCATCGTAGGCATCAACTAAATGACGATCGTCAACATCCACATGGCAATGTCAACATGCATGGTACTCTCTTTCCTGACTGTTCAATTGCTATTTCCAGCACCATGTGCCTCCAGAAGCTTCAATGTGATTTTGCTTGCAGCGCTGGCATTGGTCTTGCTGATCGGGTTTGGGAGTTACAAGTAGCTGGCGCTTTATGACCTGCGATGCTTTGTTTAGTATAGTCTTTCGCACCATGTGCAGAAACAGGATTCTGTCCCCGATCTGGGCGCAAGGCCACCCAGCAAGAGCACGCTGCTGCACAGATCAACATGGACGTTAATAATTAGACTAGGGTTTGCGGGTATACTATATACTATCTGTATATAATCAGGAACCCACCAAAAAATAGTATTGGTAGCTAGTTAGGCCCTATAGTAATCTCCATCCAAGGGACGCTATCGATGTAGTCCTGCGACTGCTGCTTGAAGAGCTCGATCGAAGGCATGCTCACAGACCTGCGGTTTAGGGTTTAGGGTTTAGGGCTGGGCTGCACCCACGATTTCTCGTCTACCAATGCAGGAACCTGATTAAGAAACCCTGGCCCTTTAACCCCAATATCCTAGGATCCATATTAAGAACCCTAATAAGGACCCAAGGTTTCTTAATCAGGTTCCTACATTCTGGGGGCCTTAATAGCAAGAATAGGGCTTGGGAGTATATTCTACTCAAGTTAGGTTAAGGATGGCATCGGTAATTGATTATTCCGGCCCCTATAGTACCCAAAAAGCTGCCACGACACCCAGAATCCAAAGATCACCTGCGAGCAGCGGTGCCACAACTTTTGGGAGGTAGAGTTTTGAAGCTTGAGCTGGAGCGTGTGCAACCGCCGGAAGCAAAGTGTCCATTCCCAAAACTTCAATTCGCAACCACTATAGACCCTCAAACCTTGACCTTACAACATGCTAAGCTGTTACCCAAAGGCCCAAAGTAGTTCCATTTCGGGGTTCGCATATAGAACCCTCTCGGGTAATCCCAAAAGGGAACTACTTTGGGGTCTCTGGGTACACGATAGCTCTACCCAGTCTAACGGTTATGACAGTCGGCATTAAGGGCCCTTTAAGAAGTCTATAGTTACAGGGGTATAATAGCTATATGAAGGGTATATACCTGGGGGTCCTTGTTAAAGGCAAAGGGTCTTCCAATACAGATCCGACTGTGGAAACCCGCCACCCATCAAGCCCCAGCCCTTCTTCCGCCCTTAAAACCCGAACCCTAAACCCTAAACCCTAAATCCTACACCCTTTACTAAACCCCAAACCCTAAACCCTAAATCTTAAACCCTAAACCCTAAATCCTACACCCTTTACCAAACCCTAAACCCTAAATCTCAAACCCTAAACCGCAGAGCTGTCGGCCCCAAATCCGCAGGATTACGAAAGGCCCTGAAGCCCAGCGAGTCTGGATTTAGGCTCCGGGTTTGGTGGATGAAGCTGCTTGCTTGAGGTTGAAAGCTCGAGGCAAAAGCCTTCCGTTAACTTTAGGGTTTAGGTTTAGGGGTTTAGGGTTTAGGGGTTTAGGGTTTAGGGGTTTAGGGTTTAGGGTTTAGGGGTTTAGGAACCGTAAAAACCCTAAACTTTTGAACCCTAGTTGGCCCTAAAACCCTAAAGACTCTTAACCCCAAGCCCCTGAGTTGCTTTCAGGGGCCCGGCCTTACTTTCGTGCCCTCGGCAGCCAGCGCATCATGGGCCTCTCTTTGGCTCTGGATGACCAGGATTTTCAGTAGGGTTTAAGCTTGAGGGTTTAAGGGTTTAGGTGTAGGGGTTTAGGATAGGGTTTAGGGTTCCAGGGCTTAGGGATTTGGGGTTTAGGCTGATCCTCAATCCCTGGGGTCCCTCAATCATCGCCAATGCAACCCTCAGAGAACCTAAGCAACTTGTTAAGGCTCCTATACCAACAGCACACTAGCGGCCTGCAGCATCAAGTGGACCTCGCTGCCTGGCGGCGGGAGGGGAGGGGAGCGCAGGCTTGGAGTTTAGGATTACCGGCGTGGGGGCTTTCTAGTGCAACTACCTGAGGACTCTTGCTCCATCAGTTATTCAGACGACAAAATTGCAGCCCTGCCAAACCCCACAACACCCATACTAAAGAAAGAACATAAAGCCATTCCAAGCAGCCAAACAAGGCAACTCAGAAAACCCCCCAACACCACTAAACAACATCACTCTCACAAGCCTTTGCGTTTGCAGTACCCCACCCAAAGAATGAACCCTAAACCCCTGAACCATAAAATCCTCAACCCCTAAGCCCTCAAACCCAAAACCTCGATGCCTTAAGAGCTCTAAACGGCACCGAGCGCAGCTTGGACTGGGCCGTGGGTTCAGGCAAAGGGAGCGTGGGATTTAGGGCTTCGGGTACCTTTAAGGATTATATAACGGTTCCTAAGGGGTATAGGGTTTAGGGGTGCTGTGGGGAAGGGATGGCGTTTTTTTGGGTGTTGGGAAGGGGCTGACTGACACCTTATTTTGAAAAACAGTTCTGAAACCCTTTAACCCGCCCTAAAACTGTATGGAAGCCGAGAAGTACCGACTACCGACCGAACTTATCTGACACCCTCTGAGCCCGATGAAAACAACTTATGCAACCCTCTCAAGTTCGCCCCATCTCACCCTAAGCCCTAAACCCCCTACATAACCTCTTGCACAATATATATATATATATATATGTATATATGTATATATATATATATATATAAGACTCTTCCCCCCCCCCCCCCCCGCCCGCCCCTGCGGTCCCCGCCTGTGGCCATGAGGATCACATCCGGGGTGCCGTTCGTAGAACTCGGCAGCGGTTCAGGGCTTACTTGGAGGTTCATGGGTAGTCATAAGAGGAGTCAAAAGTAGGGTAACTATACTCTAAGTGGAGTGAAAAGTAGGGTAACTATACTTTAAGTGGAGTTTAAAGTAGGGTAACGATACTTTAAGTGGAGTGAAAAGTAGGGTAACTATACTTATAACCCATATTAAGGGACTTATACCCCCACTTGCAACTACCCATGACCCTCCAAGTAGGGTTTTTGGGCTTAGGGTTGTTTCATTACACCGACCCTGAAGTTGCGGCTGGGGCACTTAGAGTAGAAGCCATAAAGATGGAGCAGGCGTGCAAGATGATTTGTGATAGGAACCCTTTGAGTTTAGGTGAAGGGCATGGGGAGAATAGTGGTCCAACTTTCAGGCTTCTACTTTGTAGGTTCGGAGTCAGGATTTGGGGGTCAAGCGTGTGTTTAGGGTTGGGGTTGGGGGGTTTTGGGCCCGGGTTCTCGGCTTCAGGTCTTTGTGCGTAGCTGGAAGCTTCCTTTGGCTTAGGGTTCAGGGTTTAGGGTTTTCGGGGTTTAGGGGTTTAGGGGTTAGGGTTTAGGGTAGCCAGTCAGTTTTCGCGCAGGCATGTCTTCTGTACGCCAAAAAGGCTGGGAACCCCGGGAAGTAATACTGCCACGGAACGTAGGGCCAAATCTACATGAATCCAATCAGGTGTTGGGGCATCATAGAATTATGACAATCACAAGCTTTAAAGAACAACATTACCTTTCATGTGCTAGTAATACAAACAATAACAATAAGCAGCCCTAAGGAACCTCATTTATTGCC